GACTTCCTACCGAGAGGCAAAAATAAAAAATGACAACGTTAAGACTCAGGTTGAGAAAAACTCAGATTGACTCAGCAAAACTTGCTTGGCTTGGCTAGAGTACCCAAAACTGGCAAACACTCTGGCGTAGAGGTAGTGGCAGTCAGCAGCTTAAGAACACTCCGTTAACGAGGTAACCATCATCAGGTGTGTAAGGAGGAGAATCAAAACCGGGCACCGCCTGGTGGAGGAAGGAAGACAAACACACAAAAACACAGACCACACAGACTGCAGCACGTAGTTGAAACACACCGGGTACTTGAACCGAGCCGTCAGCTCCGGGGCTGGTCCGGGAACCCCGGTGGACGGGGGCAGGGAGCCAGTGGGGATGGAGCGGCCCAGTTACGGTAGCCTGGACACATGCAACCCTGTACTTCCCCCCAATAGTTGCAATAGTTGCAATAGTCCAGTCTGGAGGAGACAAATGCATGAACCAGCTTTTCGGCGTCTGGGAAGGAGATAATGGGACGGAGTTTGGAAAGGTTACGGAGGTGGCAGAAAGAAGTCTCGCATTGGTGATTTATATGGCCTTCAAATGTGAGTTGGGAGTCCATTTTTGTACCAAGATCGCAAACTGTTGATGAAAGCATGAGAGATGTTAGTACCAGAAAAGGTAATGCTGGTTATGGATGATGATTTGGTTTGATGAGCAGAGCTCTGATTCTGCACTAAACTGGTGGTATTGATACTGATACCATTTCTTGATGCTCAATTCCGATTTTTTTGTGAAATACGATTTTTTTTGCGTTGTCGTTCACATTTCCAAATATATGCGACTTCTATATGATCTCCTGTGTGAACTAAATTCATAACACTTAAGTGTCCCGCATGCGCAGTAGAGGTTGCAATGACATCACAGGCCAGCGTGCTCTGTGTTTACGGAAGTAAACATGGATGGTAGTGCGAGAGCGCATCTAGCGATCTTTCCCTACCTAAAACACAATCTTGTCAAGATGGTTAAACATAAGTACTGCTCTCCGCATCATCGTCCGGCATGGTGGTTGTTTTTCTTGCCGCTTCTTCATAGCAAGACCCAGAATAGTGACGGTCGGGTATTAATGGCGTTCAGGTTGGATGAATGTGATCAGGCCGTTCAGACACCGGTCGCATTTTAAAAGATTAGATTCGTATCGGATTCAAGACCACATAGCCAAGTGGCCTGGGTCGGATCGGAAAAAATCTAATCTGTGTTGTTCAGACAGCCATGAAAAGATCAGATCCAGGTCGCATATGAGCCAGAAAATCTGATTTGGGTCACTTCAGGCTGCAATCTGAACGTAGCCTTAGTCTTTTTCCTGCTTCACAAAGGTAGGCAGCAGCTTGACAAAGCTATGATAGCAATTATTTTACATTCAAGTAGTATGCAGTTCTTCATATATACACACATGGATTTCAAACAGATGGTATCGTATCGGCCGATACTGCACAGCCAGATATTGGGTATCCTTATTGGAGCCAAAAAATGGCATCGGCACTAAACTAGTTTTGGAGCTATTGAGTTGAAGAAAGTTTTGCTACATCCGTACCTGCTGGGATCCAGAGGTTTGTCAACTTTTCTCCACCAGAGGGAGCCTGAGACCTTCCTCCTGAGGGCATGAGTGGACGTCTGCACATCTTCTCATTTGGAGGCATACAAGTGGAGGAGGATGCTGACACTTCTCTGCCAGAGTGTTGCCAGTAACGGTACCGGCTTACCTAGGGCTACTTTTACCTGGATCTGTTCCCTGATTCTGAATCACCTTGTCTCTGTGTTTACAGCTTCTCTCATCCTGAATTATCTGGTGATCAATCAACCCTCAAGACGGAACTCTCGCCGCCTAGAGTCTTACCTGTCCGCCCTTCGTTGCCACGTCTGACTACAAGGTCTCTCCCCCGCCCCCCGGTCCGAATCACCGCCTGAACAGGTTTAAATCCCAGACCTCCGCCTAACTCCGCCTAGTTGCCCCCTGAGATCAGCCAGATGAACCAAGGACTCCATTGTCATTGTCAGTAAATCTCACTATTGTATTTCTTGTCTCTGGAGTGATTTCTTCATGTGGGTTAGGAGACTCGACCCCAACATGACAGTACCTTAATCTCCTCCAGACAGGTGGTGAGTTTTGATGGGGATTACTGTGAGGGTGTCATTCATTTGGATGGACTCAGGAATAAGGAATAGTTAACTTACAATCTATAATTGTTTCTCATTAGTCTGTGGGCCAGCGTTTAGTTATTTCATAATCCTTCCTCCCTGAGATCAAAGAGCAGAAATTAGATGGCTTTAACTAAATACTGACATTTCTTCGTTTATGGGCTGCATTAATAAAGAGTGTGAGTGTCCCCACTTCTCAAGGGACCCCATTACTGTGCAAAGGTGTCAATTTGTAACTTATACACGTAACTTCTTGCAAGTTAAATATCTAATTTTACTCAAATGCTCGAGTTCACAACAAGGAACAAACACATCTAAAAATGTAAACACACTGCAAAAAAAATGAAATCTCAATAAGTATTTTTTTCTTAAAATTAGTGCATTTTTTCTTGAGTTAAGGATTTAAGTGAGACGCTTTGCCAATGGAACAAGACAATTTACACTTAAAATAAGAAAAAAACAACTGCATTGTCTTTTTTCAAGTGCATAATATCTAGATAGCTTATTTTAAGAGTAAAAATACTCATTCCATTGGCAAATCATCTTATTTACCTGCTCAAATTAAGGGTAAATACCCTTAATTTAAGACATTTTTACTAATTTTGAGATAATTTTTGCAGTACACTTTTGCATACATTTTTTGACAGTTATCTAACCCCATAGAATACTGGTTTAATCCACTTTTATACTATTGCTGGATGTATTTGGTGAACAGCTCTGCTCTTATGTTCGTTTAGATCATTCACCGTCTGTCGTTTTCATTTATTTTTAATTTACAGAACAATATTTGACAGGACAGTTAATAATGCAACATGACTCTACAGATGCTAACAAGGATCTCCCAAGTTTCAGGAATTGAAAACATCTTAGTGTTATTGGACTTTTTTAACTTGAAATACCCCCTTCGCATCAATGGCCCCTGCAAGGGCCCCTGTGTTAACGCTGTTATACTTTATAAAGTTCTTTTGAATATATGTACTGGGACAGATCAGTTGGACCTATTTCATATTTATACCCTCACACTTTTATTTCAACAAGGATTCAAAATTGAAGGTGTTTTTGCTACCATCTTACTTTCACACCACTGACTGTAATTAATATTGTTAAACTTTCATCCACTCGGTAATGACTGAGGAATAAAGAAGGATTTGATGGATTCAAGCAGCAATTCAGTTCTTAAACATGGCGTTTCCTATGTTGATGTGTTGTCCTCTGATAAAAGAAGTATTCAAAACCTTTCATCCAGCAGCTGGAGGAAATAGAAGCTCAGGTATCGAAACGATTCAGTAGGCAGGTCACACATCAAGCTACACGGAGGAAGACTAAGAAAATGGCTGCCCGATTTGTGTCTGTTCTCTGGGTCGGAAGGTGTTACGATGAAGGCGTACGTGTAGATGAGGAGTTTTTTCAGTTCTATTCAGTTTATTTCTATAGCGCCAATTCACATCATGTCACTTTCCAGTTCACCAGATCATCCAGTCAGATTGATTCAAAGTTTTCTATCTAAAGAAAACCAGCTGATTGCATCGACTCATTGACTCTTCAGCAATCCCTCACACTAAGCATGCTTGTAGCGACAGTGGAGAGGAAAAACTCCCTTTGAACAGGAAGAAACCTCCAGCAGAACCAGGCTCAGTGTGAGCGGCCATCTGCTGAGGCCCACTGGGGTTCAAGGAGACAGAAGCAGACATAGAAAAAGAAGCATAGATACAAAAGGCAACTGTCAATCAGCTCCACAGGCGGCCCCGTCCAGGAAACACACAGCCAGGCAGACGAGCTCCGAGCCAGCTCCCATGTCAGAGGATGAAGAGAGCACATCCAGTTAGTCACAGTCAGAGAAACAGGACTACACTGGAAAACAGGCCAAGCTCCAACATCTAGAAACAAAGGTGTTGATGGCAGCAGCACAGCTGATATTTCTCTCCAGGATGGAGTCACAGCCAAACAGGAACAGACCAGATGAAGCTACTATGAGAAAAAGCAGGGAGAGCAGAACGTTAGACATTGAACTAACAGATTCTGCAGAGTGGGAGAATAGAGATAGAATGAAGCAGAATGATGAAAAAGGGGTCCCTATGTCCTCCAGCAGCCTAAGCCTATAGCAGCAGAACTATAGAGATAGCTCAGGATAACCTGAGCCACTCTAACTAGAAGCTTTATCAAAAAGGAAAGTTTTAAGCCTAGCCTTAAAAGTAGACAGGATGTCTGCCTCACGGACTAAAACTGGTAGTTGGTTCCACAGGAGAGGAGCCTGAGAACTAAAAGATCTGCCTCCCATTCTACTTTTAGAAATTCTAGGAACCACTAGTAAACGGAGAAGGACTGGGTTATTTACTTTGGCCTTTTTGGAAACACAGGAAGGAGCAATCAGCTAAGTGAGCTTAGTGCTTGGAAAAAATCTTTCATTCCTTTAGAGACAGCATGAAAAGTCAGCTGAGTACAAAACATAGAGAGGAACAAATAATGGATGTCTATTCTATTAACATTTCTCTATCTGTAGAATGGGTCTGTTTTATGTGTCCTCTTCTCCATTCAGAGGGGCCGCCTACCTGTCTTTGCCTAGGGCCCCACATTTCCTCTATCCGCCCCTGCTGTATATATAGGATATATTGGAATAAAACCAAATCGATTCGATTCTAAATTTTAATATAGATGAATATGAACCAGATCTGTTCCTTCTGCATTATACAAATGAACAGAATTCAATAGAATTGAAATAAAATAACAGACTGTTGCCTTTAAGCAGTTTGTGATGTGGAGCTCAGGGGCCCCAGGGTGCCATGGAGCCGCCACGTGACTGAACGTGAACAACAGCATCGGAACCACCGAGTGTTTATGAAACAACAACAGCAGCTTATCAGCATTAGCGCCTGCTGCTCGCTCTGCCCCCCCTCCGGGGTGGGTGTGCGTCGGCAACGCTGTTACTGTCTCTTTAAATTTACCCAGGAGCCCCTTAAGGAGCCCCAGGGGCCCCTAGTCCGGCTCCCCACCCAGAAGACAAGCAAGAACCTTAAAATACATGACTGGAGGCCTCAGCTGGACCGAAGCTTTGCTGACTTTCTTTTCGCGCGCGGATCGAGCGATTCTATGAAAAGTTAAGTTGGCTCGCGCGGCGGGGCGCGTGGGAGAAACCCTGGAGAGCTCGGGCTCCAGAACGATGAGCGCGAGCCAGATGCGTGTCGAACGGTGCCGCGCGGCGGAACGCGCTCCTGCTGTGACATGTTGACATGTCCCGCTCCGCCGCTTCGAGCCGCTGAGGAGGAGGAGGTGGAGGAGGCGGAGGAGGGAGGAAGAAGAGCTACAGCCGCATCTAGGGCCAGGTCAGTGATGGAAGAGGAGCCCGTGGACCTCCGCTCCTCCGAACACACTGACTTACTCTCATTAATAATAAGCGGAGAGGAGGAAGCGACGCGCCAGGGGGGCGACTTGGGAGGTAAAGGAAAAAAATAAATGTTTTTTTTTGTTTTTGCCTCCCATCTGCATGTGTGTGCGTGGCTGTCAGTGACACAGCTATTGTCAGTCAGACAGTTAATCCGTGTCAGGGACAAAGCCGTGGAGCGGCATGGCCCCTCAGTGGCTCCTATAAACAAAGAGCCAGCAGCACAGAGCGCCCTCACTGCTGCCATCTAGTGGAGGCTAGTGGAAGCCCAGAGCTGCAGCATCTACACTAAAAAGGCTTTTTTTATATTAACTGTTTTTTTACAGAAGAGGATTAGGGCCACTGAAAAAAATAATAAAAAAATGTAACTGATTTTTAAATATTATTTCAGTTTAATATGGGAAAAAAGTCACAATTCTGACTTTAATCTCATAATTCTGACTTTAATCTCACAATTCTGACTTTTTTTCTCACAATTCTGACTTTTTTTCTCAGAATCCTGTCTTTAATCTCAGAATTCTGACTTTAATCTTAGAATTCTGACTTTAATCTCATAATTCTGACTTTAATCTCAGAATTCTGACTTTAATCTCAGAATTCGACGTTAATCTCAGAATTCGACGTTAATCTCAGAATTCTGACTTTAATCTCAGAATTCTGACTTTAATCTCAGAATTCGACGTTAATCTCAGAATTCTGACGTTAATCTCAGAATTCTGACTTTAATCTCGGAATTCTGACGTTAATCTCAGAATTCTGACTTTAATCTCAGAATTCTGACTTTAATCTCAGAATTCGACGTTAATCTCAGAATTCTGACGTTAATCTCAGAATTCTGACTTTAATCTTAGAATTCTGTCTTTAATCTCAGAATTCTGACTTTAATCTTAGAATTCTGACTTTAATCTCATAATTCTGACTTTAATCTCAGAATTCTGACTTTAATCTCAGAATTCGACGTTAATCTCAGAATTCTGACTTTAATCTCAGAATTCTGACTTTAATCTCAGAATTCGACGTTAATCTCAGAATTCTGACGTTAATCTCGGAATTCTGACGTTAATCTCAGAATTCTGACTTTAATTTGGAATTCTGACTTTAATCTCAGAATTCTAACTTTAATCTTTGAATTCTGACTTTAATCTCAGAATTCTGACTTTATTCTCGGAATTCAACATTAATTAATCTCAGAATTCTGACGTTAATCTCAGAATTCTGACTTTAATCTCGGAATTCTTATGTTAATCTCAGAATTCTGACTTTAATCTCGGAATTCTGACGTTAATCTCATAATTCTGACTTTAATCTCAGAATTCTTACTTTAATCTTTGAATTCTGACTTTAATCTCAGAATTCTGACTTTATTCTCGGAATTCAACGTTAATTAATCTCAGAATTCTGACGTTAATCTCAGAATTCTGACTTTAATCTCGGAATTCTTATGTTAATCTCAGAATTCTGACGTTAATCTCAGAATTCTGACTTTAATCTCAGAATTCTGACTTTAATCTCGGAATTCTGACGTTAATCTCGGAATTCTGACTTTAATCTCGGAATTCTGACTTTAATCTCGGAATTCTGACGTTAATCTCATAATTCTGACTTTAATCTCAGAATTCTGACTTTAATCTTTGAATTCTGACTTTAATCTCAGAATTCTGACTTTATTCTCGGAATTCAACGTTAATTAATCTCAGAATTCTGACTTTAATCTCGGAATTCTTATGTTAATCTCAGAATTCTGACTTTAATCTCAGAATTCTGACGTTAATCTCAGAATTCTGACTTTAATCTCAGAATTCTGACTTTTTTTCTCAGAATTCTGACTTTAATCTCAGAATTCTGACTTTAAATACTAACTTTAACAGGACTTCTCTGGTTTCGCTGCTGCTTCTTGTTTTATTTCCTCTAAAGTTGCAGATATTTAAACTAACGTTGATATTTTGTGAGCGATTGAAAGGTCCGGTTCCTCGTCTGTGCTTCAGTCTTAGCCAGTAACCTGGATTCTGGTTCTGCAGGGGATAATCTCGCCAATGGCCACGGTGGAGATGACGCTGAGGCGGGGATGGTCACACCGGTGAGATCAACCGCCACCAGCTACTGGAGCATCACCGAGGGCCCCGACCAGCCGCCGCTCCTCTCCCTGGCCCCCGGGCCTTCTGGACGCAAACCCCGGGTCCAGAGAGCGTCACGGTGGGGCCTCAGCAGGATTCCCGGCCGCGATCACCGCCGCTACTACCACGAGTACTGGCGCAGCGAATACCTGATGGACTTCGACCCCGAGAGGCACAGCATGATCTGCATGGTGTGCGGCAGCTCGCTGGCCACCCTGAAGCTCAGCACCATCAAGAGACACATTCGGCAGAAACATCCCGACTCTCTCCTGTGGAGCGCCGCAGACAAGGAGGTGATCCGATCCGGGTGGGAGAGCCACCTGAGCCTGGGGGGGGGTCAGAGGTCAGGTTCTGGACCTCCAGTCCAGGGAGAGGAGGCCTCCATGGACTTTGGACCGAATGTCGGAGGTGAGCAGAGATTCGTCAGCCGTTTTGTTTTAGGATCACAGAACCAAAATCAAGGGATCCGTTTGATTTTAGGGTCCAGAAAAACACCAATTAGAGTGTTTTTAATTGAAACGATCGATCTAAGCAATGTGATTTACATCTATATTCAACCTCCTGTTCTCTGAAGAAGATGATGATGATGATCAGGCTTTTAGCTAGCAATGCGTACAGCCATAATTCATACACCCTTTACTAAAAAGTGACAAATTGTACGCCCTGTTTCCCCTCTGGAAGCTTTTCTCAGATATTCAAAGTTTCCCAAGCAGCAGCTGCTGATGCAGAGCGCTCTGATCACTATTCTGAAACTGTTTATTAACGTCTAAATGAACTCAAAATGTAGAAACACACTTAAGAGCTCTAAGCCACGCCTCCCCTGAAACGACTGTCCCTAATTATTCTTCCTATTTTCTCTTGATGACGTCTGTTGATACGTTTCTGAATGACATAATTGAGTTTTAGAAATTAGAATCTTCTGTTAGTAGGTGAAAGGTTCTGTCTGAGACCACCTCCTCTGTTGAGAGATGGTTCCAGGTTAACAAAGATGGCTTCGTTAACCCCTCTCTCAAACAGTCTGTCTTGGCCAGATTATGGACGTTGTCTGAAAAAACGAGAGTCCTTTAGCCTTCAGTAGGTGAACAGCTGAGTCTTGTCCTGAGGAGTTGGTCCTCCTGTGTCGAGCCATGCACCCGTGTAGCGGTTGCTTGATCTCTCCGATGTAAAGGTCTGTGCCCTCTTCACTACACTGAACGGTGTAAACCATATCGTCAGTCTGGTTTCTGGGTGTCCTGTCTTTGGGTTGAACCAGTTTTTGTCTCAGGGATGTGGTGCTGGTTTAAAATCTTCCGTCAGCAACATCCGGAGTGACGATTGTTCCACCTTCTGTTCTCTTCCCTCTCAGCAGACCTCTTCTAGTTGATTTTTAGAAAAGGCTCATCAGGGGTAACCACCGTTTCTTCATGGCTGTCCTAATGTGTCCCTGTTCTCTTCCACTCTGTGGTGGAAATGCTTTCTAATCATGTCTGCAGGGTTCTGATGATGCCTAGTTTGTATTCCAGTGGATGGTGTGTCAAAATGGAGGTACTGGTCGGTGTCTGTTTGGGTTTCCTGTTGATTTCCATGTTGAGTTGTCCGTCTTCCATGATCTGAACCGCGCAGTCCAGGAATGTGTGGACTTGAGGAGGAAGCAGAGGCTCTGTGATAGAGCTCTGACTGGGCAAAGCTCAGTACATCATTTTATTCAACAACTCCCAATGCACACACTCTTCCTTGGAACTATCCCATCCCTACATAAAGAACTTTCTCCCACACGAACATTTGGTTATTCCCAAGAAAAAACACTTCAGTTCATCGAGGACATACATTTTAGCCAGATAAACACTGAGAACAGGTGTCCTGTCCATGGCATGAAGGAGGCTCTGTGAACTCATTCTTATCTCTCATGATCCTCCCTTCACCCTGGTCTAGAGTAGGGAGGCGTCTGCATTTTCTTTTGAGTTTTTACGGCATTAGTGGCTCGTTTTGTTTTTGCACAGTAGGCTGAGAGGAAGGGAGTATGAGAGAGGGGGAGAGACATAAAGGAAAGGACCACAGGCCGTAATCGACCCTGGGTCGCCTGCGTCGAGGATTAAAGTACAGATTAGACTTCTGCAGCCACACACATCAAATGTCGCTTGGGTCTGGAGGAGCCTATTCAAGAACTCGTTAGAACTTCGGCGGACGGTCACGAGAACGTCATTTTGGCAGAGACCATGGCATCTTTATATAATTGGTCTGAGGCGTCGTTCAAGTGGTTGTACTTCCGAACCTCCTCAATCAACCTTTCGCCATAGTTGTCCATTGTACTTGTTCCTTGGTTTTTAACACTAGAACTCCCAAGGCCTTCATTTTGACGGTTCTAAGAGTTCCGCAGTCACTCTGCTGCACCCCTCCAAAATTGTAGGTGACCGCAGACAGTGCCACAGAGAGGAGGCCTCTGATTGGTCAAATCTAAATCCGCTTCTCTATGCGTACTTCCTGTCTGGTTCCTTACCGGCTTGTTTTGTTTGTATGACCGCCATTGTGGAATACGACTGGTGAAGATGGAGCAGCTAGAAGAGCGCTCTTTTTCACCCTCATGTCCCTCCGTTGTTGCATAAACTTGCCTCCACTTCCTCACCGCCTCGGCCGTATCTAGACCCACAGCTAGTTCCTGATTGGCCCTCTAGCGTTGTGGCGTGGAATACCATGGCACAGACCACGCTTTAATATCGGGCATGAATTTAAAATATCTGCGTCATACCTGCTGCGGGAGGATAAGCAGTGTGAAGGATTGCCATTGACTCAATGAGTCGATGCAATCAGCTGGTTTTCCTTCAATATAAATCTTTTAATCAATCTGATTGGATGATCTGGTGAACTGGAAAGAGCCTTGAGATGACATGATGTGAATTGTTGCTATAGAAATAAACAATAATCTTCCCAGGCAAAATTAATGTTTCTGTCCACTAACAGACCTCCTTGTCCAATCCAGTAGGAGGAATTAAAGACTCCTTTTGTTTTTTCCCTTAATTCTTTTTACCACCTACAGTATATTAACCTCAGTGATCCCTGCCTCTAGTTAAAACTGAAAAAGCCTCTTGGATGAGAGGAGAAACCTTTTCTAGAAAACTTCAGGTCCAGTTGCCTAAAATAAACTTTTTCAGCTCAAATCAGGAAATGTTTTTAAAAATAGATACATTAACAAATATTGAAGGTTTGAAGCATTTTCATTGAATATCTGCTCTGATTTTGTGAAAAAAAGAAAACAGTAATTCTGACTGGTTGTCAGTCAGTTCCTGCTGTTTTTCTGATCAACAGTAGGTGGCAGCAAACAACTAAGATAAACACATCTAAATCCCAGCGAAGAGTTTTCAACCTGTTCAGGTTTGGAAGAGAAGTTTTAGATCCCAGAGAGTTGGTCAGAAAGTGGAACCCTGAACTAAAACCTGGAGCCACGTTTGGCTCGGTGGCTAATCGGACCGCTGGCCCTCACAGGGGGGGGGGGGTCTCAAACCTTAACAGGAGCCACTCTCCCAACAGGCCAGGAGTCAAATTTCATTGTTTCTGCGTAAAAACCAAATTTTTGATCAATATCGACCCAAGAAAATTTGTTCTCTTTATTTTCTTGGTTTAAATAAACAAATTCAGACAGAAGAAAAAAAACTTCCTTTAATGGGGTGATGATATCTGTTGAGAGTTTTAGCTAAATAAAAGTTACTAAGAGGCATAAATGTATGAAATCCCCGAGAAAAAGACACAATTTTGAATAATTTTATATACCAGAAATTTTATTTTATTTTCATAGAAATTTTTTTTTTATTTTTTTTTAAAGCTTTTTTCTTAGAAGAAATGAGGACATTTTCTTATATTTCTGGAGAACAATGTATGGAAGGAAATGTTTCTAAATAGTTGCACTGATCGATTGATCGGCCCAAATTTGACCTCAAAAATGCAGAAGACCAAACAGAGAGAAAAGCTTAACAGGTTTATAAGAATATGGTGATGAATCCAGTGCTGCTCAGAACACTGTCAATCCGGAACTGGAAGGTGAGGGGAAGACACTGCGGTTAGTTCAGGCTCAGTGGGAAATTAGATTCTTAGACTTGAATTGGAGGAATAGGTTGCAGACTCACTTCTCCAGGAAAAGGTGTCCTTTATGGAATCCAGTCTGTGTGGGAAGATTCCAGTGATTGTCTTGTTTGGTGTTGGGCGGACGGGGTTTACTCGGACTCGGACACTCCTGCGGTACTTGAACGGGCTGCGGCGCAGATGAAACCTTTGCTCAGTGTGAAGTTCAAACGACCTCTTGGGGAAAGTGGATCCAAACTTCCTGTTTGGAACCTCAGCTCAGTTAGAAGCTCAGCTGATCCTTCCAGAGAGAGAAGGTCCGAACAAATCCAGTTTGCAGGATGACTTCCTGCCGAGAGGCAAAGACAAAAAACAAAGTTAAGACTGAGGTTGAAAAAACTCAGTTTAACTCAGTAAAACTCAGCTTGGCTAGAGAATCCAAACTGACAAACAAAGACTCAGGTTAGACTCTGCTAAACTAAGCATGGCTAGAGTACCCTGTATTGGCAAACACTCTGGCGTTGAGGTAGTGGCAGTCAGCAGCTTAAGAACGCTCCACAGGTAATGAGGCAATGAGCTGCAGGTGTGCAGGGAGAACCAATGAGGACGGGGCACCACCTGGTGGAGGAGGAAAGGAAACACAAAAACAGACCACACAAACTTGTTTTCTTGTTTTCTTGCTATTTTTCTTGAACAGAAAGTCCAGATGCGGCCCCGCTCCCCCCCGCTCTGACCCCACAGAGCGTAGAGGAGGAGCCAGAGGCCCCCGGGCCGTCGGCGCGGACCTTGGAGCGCTACCTGAACGACTCGCTGCACGCTTGGTTCCGGCAGGAGTTCCTGATGGAGTACGAGGCGGAGGCCGGCCGCCTGCTCTGCATGGTGTGCGGGGCGGAGCTTCCGTCGCTCCACCTGGATCACATCAAGAGCCACGTGCTGCAGACGCACCCCAACTCGCTGGTGTTCAGCTCGGAGGAGAAGCACTGCATCCTGCAGGCCTGGGCCCAGAGCCACGGTGAGAACGGAGCCCGCCACCGTGTCACCACGTCCCGGCGCCGGATCCTCACTGTGAAAATCTGCTCTCCGACAGGCGAGTCCCACTCGGCCAGAGCCGAGCCCACAGCAAACGCCAAAGGAAAGGGGGCGGAGCTTCTCTCAGGAGACCTTCAGGCCAACCAGACCGACGCGGACGAGTCCCCGGAGGGCGACGGCGCTTTAACTCAGGATATCCGCCTGATTGGTGAGGACGGAGGGGTCGGGGCCCCTCGGCCCGCGGCCCCGCCTCTCCGGCAGCCCAGGAAGCGGCGGCTGCGAGGCGGGGACCCCTGGCGGCTCCGCCTGGACTACCTGGTGGCCTACGGGCCCCAGGACCAGGGCATCTTCTGCATGGTGTGTTCTCAGGTGTTAAAGGAGAGCAAGGTGAGCAGCTTCCGCCGCCACATCCAGGAGTGCCACCCTGAGACCACGGCCCTGAGCCGCCAGGAGCGAGAAGCCATGGCCGCCGCCTGGACCAAAGACTCCTCTGCTGACGGCCTGCAGGCAGCAGACGGTGAGAAACGCCCTGCAGCCATGTTGGAAAACATCAGAAAGATGCTGCAGCTTTCGCCTGAATCAGAGCTGAAACGCTTCCTCATCATTCCTCCATTTTAATAGCAGCAGGGGCCCCCAGGGGGCCCCCTGGAAAAACGACCCGAGGCCCCTAAATACATATTTAGCTACCTATTTATTTATGCATATCAATAAAGGAATAATAATAATAGTAATAAGGTCCTTATTATTTATGATATTAAAAAGCATTTCAATATTTCATTCATTTTACTTTTTTAGCGTTTTTTGAGAAATTTAATTAATTTTATGCTTTTTTTCAACATTTTAAATGAATCTATAAAAGTTTATTCACCTGAAATTAATCATTTTACATCTTATCCAATCAGACACTTTATATTTGAATGGTCTATACTGCATAATTTTTAATAATCTATAATTAATCGTAACTTAAATTATTTAATTCGTCACTTTATAAAACTTTATTTGAACATCTAATTATTTAGTTTATGATTTTAATCATTTTTAATAATGTTTCATTATTTTTATCATTTTTTTCTTTTTTTTTTTGGGACATCAAATTATTTTTTTTCAACATTTTAAATGTATCTATAATTATTTATTCTAACGTTTATTTAACTATAATTATTTTAAATTCAAAATTATTTAATGAGAAATTTAAGGATTTAAGTGACTATTTTAAATGATTAAAACAAACATTTACGGGACGTTTAATTCGTTATTTTATAAAAATCATGATTTATTTGAACAATGAATTATTTATTTCCTCGTTCTAAATTTATCTATAATTAATCATAACTTAAATGATTTAATTTGTCACTTTATAATATTTTATTCATTTATTTCATTATTTAGTTCATGATTTTTTTTATATTTTATGGGACATTTCATTATTTTCATCATTCTTTTTGATTTTTTTATAATTAATCATTTTAAATCTATAATTATTCAATCCGATATTTAATGATTTAATGGTCTATATTGCATAATGTTTAATGTTTAATAATCTACAATTAATCGTAACTTAAATTATTTAATTCGTCACTTTATAATACTTTATTTGAACATCTAATTATTTAGTTTATGGTTTTAATAATTTTTGATAATATTTTATAGGAAATTTCATTATTTTTATCATTTTTTTCTTTGTTTTTTTGGGACATCAAATGATTTTTTCAGGATTTTAAACATATCTATAATTATTTATTCTAACGTTTATTTAACTATAATTATTTTAAATTCAAAATAATTTAATGAGATATTTAAGGATTTAACTGACTATTTTAAATGATTAAAACAAAAATTCTTTGGACGTTTAATTCGTTATTTCATGATTTATTTGAACTTTGAATTTGAATTATTTATTTCCTCATTCTAAATTTATCTATAATTAATCATAATTTTAATGATTTAATTTGTCACTTTATTATATTTTATTCATTTAGTTCATGATTTTAATGATTTTTTTAATATTTTATGGGACGTTTCATTATTTTCATCATTCTTTTTGATTTTTTACTTAGTTTGTTTTGGAAATTAAATTATTTTCTTCAACATTTTAAATGATTCTATAATTATTTAATATTTATTTATCTATAATTAATCATTTTAAATCTATAATTATTCAATTAGACATTTAAGGATTTAATTGACCATTTTAAATGATGCAAAAACATGTTTTATTCATCATTTCATAACATAAATAAATTATGGATTATTTCATTTATTTGAACATTTAATTTTTAAATTAATCTTCTTGACTATTAATAATGATTTAATCTGATATTTATTTATTAAATTCATCGTTTTAAATTATTCTTTAAATATTTTTTATCTTTTTAATCTTTGTAGAATTAAACCGCAGTGAATCCGTCGCCTTCAGCACAACCAAAGGAGGGAACGAGGACGCCGCCTGTGATGTCACAGCGCCCCCGAATGACGACGAGGGCGCGAGTGCAGAGAGGAGCAAGTCCAGCAGCTCCGGCATGGCGGGGGCGGCGGCGGCTCGTCACGGACATTACCCCGGGAAGGACCAGAGGAGGAACTACCAGGCACGCTGGCGAGTGGAGTATCTGATGGACTATGACGGCAGGAGACACGGTCTGATCTGCATGGTGTGCGGCGCCGCTCTGGCCACGCTGAAGGTCAGCACCATCAAGCGGCACATCCTGCAGGTGCATCCGCACTCCCTGCTGTACGGCGCCGAGGAGAAGGAGCGAACCGTGCTGAGCTACGGTCAGAGCGCCCTGCAGCTCCTTCACTCTGAAGACTGCTTCCCCTCCCAGGACCCCGGGGCCCCCTCCTCACCCGCACAGCTCGGCACTTAGAAACCGCCGCAGGAAGGAAACCGGAAACCTCAGAGTGAGAGTAGAGTGGGAGGAAGGTCACGCCTAGATTCACTGATGGTTAAAGTCCAGGGACTCATCCAGGGTCTGGAAAGCAAAACCATAGTTAATGTAGGAGCGAAAACCATGGTTTATGACATCACAGCGTCACGCCGCAGGTTAGATCACTGGGGGGGCGTTTCCAGTCCCTCGGTCCGACACGCTGCGTCCTGAGGAGGCAGTTCAGCCATTTTATCCAGGCGTGTCTGTCCCGCGATGAATAATGACAGTTTGGTGTTTGGACTGAAAAATTCAAGGCGTTCCGTTCAGGAACCGTAGTATGGGGATAAATTCGAGCCATAAATTTGTTTAAAAACATTTTTTATACTGTTGAAAAAAATTCAACAAAGAATGTTTGGAATCTCAAAAAAAGAAAAGATATGAAACAGAAAACTATTTTTAAAACAAAAAAAAAGTATTTAAAACTGCAAAAAAAAATATTAAACTCAAAAGAAAAAGTGCGTTTAGGAACCGTGAGAAGCAGAGATTTTCAAAGCATCATTGATGCTCTATGTTTATATCAGAGCCGTAGAGATAAGAGGGTTCTGACGACAATTGGCAACATTTCAAAGAGCCATGCGGTTCAATAGTTCCATAGGAGTTAGCCGCTCACGCTAGCTTTTATATCTCTACGGCTCCGGTTCATATGTTCTGAAATAAACACGATTCACCTTCTTTTCAGTTTCAAGCTCATTTGCAGCTTTTAATCCTCTTTTGTGTTATTCATTTTTTTGAAGTAAAAAAAACAAATGTTTCATGGCCTCAATCTAACTCCGTAAACTCATCCAAACATTCAGTTTCCGTGGTTTCATGAAGCTTCCTGGTAACAAGTGCAAAGTTTAAGTCGACTCCGTAGAGAAAGGAATGAGTCTCTGGGCTTTAAAGCGTTTAGGGACACCGTCGGATATTTATTTGCGTTTTTCTGGGACTCGGCTCTGGTCTAAGCCCCGAGTCTTTTCTCAGGGAGCTAGAAACCGAGTGACACGACGAGACCTGAGGGAGTTTTTTTAGCACTTTGTCCCAAAAAGATCCAACTTAGCGGCGCAGAGGCGGTGAAATGAACTTATTGCTGAAGACAATGAGCGGAGCGTGCAGCCGGGGACACGGAGGACTGCAGGACACGGCGTCCTCGCCGTTTACAGGTGGATGAGGACAGCCTGCATCCTTCCCATCAGCCGACTCCTACCTTAACGCTGCGCAAAAATGTGTAGATAGATAAAGTTGGTTGTTTTTTTTTTGTACGAGCACTTTTTGCCTCCTGGTTTTTACTAAATCTGTTTGTAAGTGATTCCAGTTTTCTACGTTCTCGGGAATCGAACCATGAAGGCGTTTCTAACAGCTTGTCGGGTTTCTGAGTTAACTTTTCTTCAGCTTCTTTCTGCTTTTTTTCCTCATTCATTGTACGAAGCTTATGCAAAGTAAAAGCTCTGCCATAGGATGTCGCTTCCTCTTCTTTTTTTGCACTGCAAAACCTAATCTATTATCTATTGTTTCATAAAATACGCGTATTCGCTTTCATTTGAGCAGGTAAATAAGATGATCGAACAATATACGGAGCATTTGTGTCCTTAAGAAGAAATTACATGATATTTATGGAGTGAATTTTGTTCCATTATTGTGTGCTAAATTAAAACGACAAGAAAAAAAAAGCAATTTTTTAAAAGTATCAATTTTTTTCTTTTATTTTAAAATCTTTATTCTTTTTTTAGGTATTATATTTTCAAATGTTATACATTTTTTTTTATTTTATTTTACAGATCACATTCTCTAAACTTGTAGGACAGGCTTTCTACTACAGACCAATAAAAATATCTTCGGAAAGATAATTCGAAAATAATGCAGTTCATTAAATTAAATGTGAAAAGAAAATTAAAAAAATAAATAAAATCTGCTAAGTTTAATTGCTAATTGATAAAATTTTCTTTTGTATTTTATTTACAACAATGGCACTAAATTAGCTCCGTAGGAATTAGCCCCATAACCACTACCCTTTTGTAACCGTGCCAAGATCGGTTGGAGCACGGTAACCCAGGTAACCGTTGAGTGTAAATGGAACGCACAACAGAACCAGACCGTGCCAGACGTAACCGAACCGCGCTAGCGTTGTGCTAGTTCATTAGTAGCGCCCGGCGCGGTTCAGTTCTGGCTCAGTTCTCTGATTACAAAGAGCGCATGAGCAGACGCCGTCATCTCCTTACCGTCAGCCTCTGTAATTATGAGTATTGATAAAAATACTAGCTTCCCTGCCGTGCTGCACGATTTCCAGTGATGATTCTGCTTAGCAGTGCGATCAACCTCTATATCTGTTGTTTCCCGCTTCTAGAAGCTCTGATTAGCTTCCAGACGAAGGTCTATCGTTTGTCGTATCCACTTCCCAAGGTTGCCTTCTTCGCCTGATTCTCTGCAAACTTACTGAATGTTACAGGCACCGCCATGTTGGTTTGCTTCTAGAGAGCAGTAGTACCGTAGATCGCCACTAGGAGGCGGGAAACCGTGCTAGCGTGGCATGTAAACGGTCGTAGGGAACCGAGCGCGGCACGGATCGGTTTACAGAGGGTTGTGGAAACGGGGTAATAATGTACCTGAACTAAGGTCATGCTTTTTCTTTTTCTTATTTTAAACGTAAATCGTTCCATTTGCAAATTTTCTTACTAACCTGCTCAAATGGAAAATACACGTATTTCAAGGAATAAAGATACCTTATGTTTCATTTTTTGCAGTGTGTAAAAACGAGTCTCAGGGATTCTGTTTGCATCGGTTATTTTCTGTTTTCAGTTGCTGCCGTAAAACATAAATACCACAGAGTATTAAAAGACCCAGACGCAAAAATTATCATTTAAAAAAAAAAAAATAAAGCTTCTTTGAAAAAGTCCTGATGCCAAAAAATGTAAGTTTAAATAAAAAAAAATAGCAGCTTATTTTTGTTAGCTATTTTTAACTATGAGGGTGAAAGCATTGGAACACCTGAATGCTTCGCTGTGCAGCGGGACGATCCGGTTTTCTCTTTAACGTGTTTTCAGTAGATTTGGGCTGCGTTACTCTGTGGTATCTATGCAGGACTGACATGCAGAAGATGTTGTAAACAGGAAGATGTTGAATAAACTGCTCTGATTTATGGGCTGGAACCCCCCCCGCTCTGACGCAGCACTTAATGGTTCCAACCTTCTTTACTTTGCAGCAGCTGATGTGAGAAATGTGGATCCTGTCATCAGTGAATAAAAACTCCCTGAACCAATAAGCCTTTCTGATGTCATGTGAGTTAATAAGCAATTATTTTAGGTTTTCTTGGCTGGCCGCCATTTTGCTTTAAAAACTAACTTAAGTAAACCCACATTGCAAAGAAAATAAATAGATGAAATTCTCCTTTAAATCACAAATCTAACTTTTTATATGGAGGGTTAAAGAGGACAATTTTAAATAAGTAAATATATCATTAAATATAAATGTACCATCTAATTTAGTCCCATAAATCCCCCGATTAGCAGATTGGCATTTCATTTAATTAGAAATAAATCCGATTTTAATGGATATGCTTCTAGTGGTAAAAATATCATAAATTACATCCTTTTTCCACCAAAAAAAAAAAAAAAACTGTTTCCAAAAACTAAATCACAGTCTTAAATGAAATTCAACTCCAAAATACTTTTAATCCCAAAAGGGGAAATAAATAATTGATCCACAAACAATCAGATGTACCATTCACTTATTGAATACATAATTAAATAGTTAATTGTTTCATTAAATGAACCATGAAATAATTAAATCTACCATTTTTCTATGCAACACTTTTAATAATTTATTAAGTTATGACATGTTCAAGTAAATAACTGAATGTGACATTAGATAACAATACCTTATAAATGATTACTATATATATATATATATATATATATATATATATATATATATATATATATATATATATATATATATATATATATATATATATAGTAAAGTTAATTTCATGATTTCACTATTTTATTTCATATTTTTACTCTACAGTCAATATTAACACTTACGGATTTACTTATTTCTTTTAAAATTTCTTCATTTCATCTATTTCATGTTTAGTTAAAATGTATTTAACTAATTCTACATTTAATTTTCTCCCCTTTAACACTCCATACATTAGCCCAACTTGCAATCACCATGCTAACACTAGCATGCCTGATTATCATCATGCTAACATTAGTCAGCCTTATTACCACTATCCTATAATTAGCCACCTTATCACATGCTAGCACTAGCCTGGCTGATTATATCTATGCCATCTTTAGCCCCTCCTATTATCATCATGCTAACATTAGTCAGCCTTATTACCACTATCCTATAATTAGCCACCTTATCACATGCTAGCACTAGCCTGGCTGATTATATCTATGCCATCTTTAGCCCTCCCTATTATCAACATGCTAACATTAGCCGGCCTTATTACCACTATCCTATGATTAGCCACCTTATCACATGCTAGCACTAGCCTGGCTGATTATATCTATGCTAACATTAGCCCCTCCTATTATCAACATGCTAACATTAATCAGCCTTATTACCACTATCCTATAATTAGCCACCTTATCACATGCTAGCACTAGCCTGGCTGATTATATCTATGCCATCTTTAGCCCTCCCTATTATCAACATGCTAACATTAGCCGGCCTTATTACCACTATCCTATGATTAGCCACCTTATCACATGCTAGCACTAGCCTGGCTGATTATATCTATGCTAACATTAGCCCCTCCTATTATCAACATGCTAACATTAATCAGCCTTATGACCACTATCCTGTGATTAGCCACCTTATCACATGCTAGCACTAGCCTGGCTGATTATATCTATGCCATCTTTAGCCCCTCCTATTATCAACATGCTAACATTAGCCGGACTTATGACCACTATCCAATGATTAGCCACTTTATCACATGCTAGCACTAGCCTGGCTGATTATATCTATGCTAACATTAGCCCCTCCTATTATCAACATGCTAACATTAATCAGCCTTATGACCACTATCCTGTGATTAGCCACCTTATCACATGCTAGCACTAGCCTGGCTGATTATATCTATGCCATCTTTAGCCCCTCCTATTATCAACATGCTAACATTAGCCGGACTTATGACCACTATCCAATGATTAGCCACTTTATCACATGCTAGCACTAGCCTGGCTGATTATATCTATGCCATCTTTAGCCCCTCCTATTATCAACATGCTAACATTAGTCAGCCTTATTACCACTATCCTATAATTAGCCACCTTATCACATGCTAGCACTAGCCTGGCTGATTATATCTATGCCATCTTTAGCCCCTCCTATTATCAACATGCTAACATTAGTCAGCCTTATTACCACTATCCTATAATTAGCCACCTTATCACATGCTAGCACTAGCCTGGCTGATTATATCTATGCCATCTTTAGCCCCTCCTATTATCAACATGCTAACATTAGCCGGCCTTATGACCACTATCCAATGATTAGCCACTTTATCACATGCTAGCACTAGCCTGGCTGATTATATCTATGCCATCTTTAGCCCCTCCTATTATCAACATGCTAACATTAGTCAGCCTTATGACCACTATCCAATGATTAGCCACCTTATCACATGCTAGCACTAGCCTGGCTGATTATATCTATGCTAACATTAGCCCCTCCTATTATCAACATGCTAACATTAGTCAGCCTTATTACCACTATCCTATAATTAGCCACCTTATCACATGCTAGCACTAGCCTGGCTGATTATATCTATGCCATCTTTAGCCCCTCCTATTATCAACATGCTAACATTAGCCGGCCTTATGACCACTATCCAATGATTAGCCACTTTATCACATGCTAGCACTAGCCTGGCTGATTATATCTATGCCATCTTTAGCCCCTCCTATTATCAACATGCTAACATTAGCCGGCCTTATGACCACTATCCAATGATTAGCCACCTTATCACATGCTAGCACTAGCCTGGCTGATTATATCTATGCTAACATTAGCCCCTCCTATTATCAACATGCTAACATTAGTCGGCCTTATGACCACTATCCTGTGATTAGCCACCTTATCACATGCTAGCACTAGTCTGGCTGATTAGCCCCTCCTATTATCATCGTGCTAACATCAATCCGTCTGATTATAACCATTTTATCATTAGCCTACCTTATCACCATGCTAACGTTAGGCCATTTTATTATCCTCCTTTAATGTGTAATTATTGAGAGAAAATACTCTTTCCTTTTTGTCAGTGTACGCTCTTTATGCCGACACATTAAAGCTGTGGAGAACTCTGGCATTCAGATGGAGAAAATAACATTTAAACATTCAGGAAGGTTTTGCATCACCAAAGCACAAAGATAAATAATCTTAAAATAAATGTATTTCTCCTTGTTTAAGAAGGTAAGACAATTTGCCAATGAATAAACAGTCTAAAAGGAGCAAAATAAATAACTCTGTTATCCCATTTCATCTAAATATCTATTAAGGTCAGACACACTCGTTGGCGAAACTAACTTATTTTAACAGATGTGATTATTTTTAGATCAGTTTTTTAGTAGACTTTGTGGTTTCAAATGGACTCAGGTTCTCTTTGTCCTTTTTCTTGATCCGGATGCTTAGGGGCCACCGGGGGCCACCAATCAACAAGCCTTGATCTTTAGCTCTACTCAAGGATTTAAACTAAATAAAATGAACCTAGAGAAAAAGTAGGTTAGAAATGAAAGACTGTTGGTGAAAACTTTGATAAATAAACCTCCTAAAGTAGGGGCTAAAGTAGTGCCATAAATTTTGTAAAAAAATAAAATAAATCAACTGTAAAAAGTGTAATAAGACTGAAGGATTGTTTTAGAACTTAACCCTGTAATGCCAAATGTATTTGATACATACGGTTTCTGAAATGTTTTGCGTCTGACACCTTTTGCATAATTTAATGGTAAAAACTTTGCTCAAAATCCTATTGTACACAATCAGATACACCTGATAACAGCCAGTAGAAGACTACACAAAAAATAATCTTGCCTTATTGCATAGTAATAAATTAATATAAAAAATGTATTTCTTTTTTTTCTTTTTACATATTTTGTTAAAAGGGCAAATAAGGAATTCAAACCAAAGAAAAGCAATTTTCTGTTTTGTTTTATTCTTGGATCGAGCTTTAAAGGGTTAAAAAATGTTGGCAATATTTTTGAAAAAAAAAAAAAAAAACCCCGAAGTCTCAGGTTGAAATTATTCTAACTTAGTTTTTCTTTTTCCATTTTTTTTGCAATTTTGAAAAAAAAAAAAAGGTTTTGAACAAACTTTATGGTACTACTTTAGTCCCATAAATCCCTCGATTAGCAGATTCGCATTTCATTTTATTAGAAATAAATACGTTTTTAATGGATATGCCTCCAGCGGTAAAAATATAACAAATTTCATCCTTTTTCCACCAAAAAAGAAAAAGAAAAAACAGTTTTCAAAAACTAAATTAAAGTCTTAAATGAAATTAAACTCCAAAATACTTTTAATCCCAAAAGGGAAAATAAATAATTGATCCACAAACAGCCGCAGACCTTTGAGTTGATTTTATTAATCATTTCACTTCGACATCAGTACAGAAACCACAAACAGTTTAATTTCGTCTTCTTCCTGCAACATCTGTCCAAAAAAAAAAAAAAAAAAAAAAAAGCTTTAAGAAACTAGAACCAAAGTTGCGGCTGCTACGAAACCGTTATTCACAAACCAAGAGTGAGGAAACCCGAACCCATTAGCGTCACATAAAAACACAAACAGGAAAAGCAGAACAAAAACATGCTGCGACAAACCCTTCTATGTGTCGTATTCTACACGTTAAACTCTACGCTGGCAGATCTAGGTGTGCAGCCCCTCTATAACCAGCCTCCGTCTAAACTATGTAGTTTTTATTCTTGGCTCTTGAGGGACCGGATCCGGCCCACGCGCCGCGGCTTTGACACGTCTTCCCCACTTCACTTAAAATTGCTCTGACGAGTTATGAAGCTTTTTTTATGTGAAATTATGAGTCCGCTAATATTAATAGGCACCATCTTTAGCAAAACAAATGCTGAAAACTATTTTTTCCCCCATTATGGTATAATTTTAAAGTATCAGATAGAATTGAGCTATAAAAACATTAGAAAGAAATTATTAGCACAGCCGGACCTCATTTCTTTAATCTAAATTGCATTAAAACAAACTTGTGGCGATTATGTTCACATTTTTCCTCTGGTCACACGTTCAAGTTGGGAGACATGAAGAAGCTGCATAGAGTTCAGTAAGAGGGACCCCCCCCTTAATGAGCGTTGATATGGAGCTAAATACGGGCCATAAAGCTTGTTCAAAACTTTAACTAAAAGTAAATTAATAAACGCTGAATCTTGTTTTTTTCAAAACCAATAGAGTTTAACTTAAGCTTTAAAGACATTTCCATTTCCCACAGTTCCTGAATGCAACATATTGGAATCTTTTTTCCATATAAGCCGAAGCGTCAGTCATCCTTCCAGCCCCCACGTAACCCAAGCCCCGCCCTCAGACCAAGGGCGTCACAGTTTGTAACTAAAAAAAAAATAATAAGTTGTTTTTTAATTATTTTTTCCCCTCAATTTTCAAAGATTTTCCTTTCAGTAAAAAAAAAAAAAACTTAATTCAAATCCGTTTCTTTGTGTTGAGATTGATTTTCCAACAAAACATTTTTTGGTTTAAATATATATTTTTTTCTTTTAACGGTTTAAAAAAAAAATCCCAATTTCAAATAATTTGTTTGTTTTTTTTGCCGAGACATTTCTTCAAGTTTTCAAAATTACTTGTTTCTCTTTTTTTTTTTTTTTTTGTTTCCAAACTAATTTTTCCAGTTATTTATTTTCAGTTTAAAAAAAAACAACAACTTTTAATTCAAATCCCTTTCTCTGGGTTGAGATTGATTTTCCAATAAAACATTTTTTGGTTTAAATATTTTGTTTTTCTTTTAACGGTTTTTAAAAAAATCCCAATTTCAAATAATTTTTTTTTTTTGGCAGACATTTGTTCAAATTTTCATATTACTTGTTTCTCTTTTTTTTTTTAGTTTCCAAACTAATTTTTCCAGTTACAATTTATTTTCAGTTAAAAAAAAACTTTATTTTTTTTTTAAGCAAACTTTTTGGCCCTAACTTAGCCCCATACTTCAGAGCAACAGATTGAATAGGACCTTCCAATGCTGCTTATTCAGGAGGCTGGGACATGCAGGCAGATCCTGGATCTGGATAAAAGTGACTTTTAAGTGTGCAGATGACTTTCTTCTCACTCTTGTCCTTAAATAAGAAAAAGATGGAGCTGCAGGGCAACAGATCACTACGGTTCAGAAACAGCACAGAAACATCACGAGTAGGAATCTTATTGAACAAAATCTGGATCAATATAGTACAGAGTAAATAGGGAAGAGGAGGAGATCACTTCCAGCTTATACTACAACATGCAGTCCAAGAAAAACGAATACTTTAAATTCAAAATGGCACCTTCTAACCGTAACAAACCTCTTTCCTCCTTCAGGGTCACCGGGGAAATTGTATGGAGTGTAAAATATGTCCCAAATTAAACAAAAAACAAAGAAAGGATCACAGCACAAACAAATCTTTTCACTTTTACATTACTTTTTTTAATTTTAGCCATTTTTTTTTCCAGATCACAGCCTTTATCTTAAATTAAAACGAACAGCTTTTATTTGGCAAAAAAAAAAAAAAAAATACAAAACGATCACATTTTACACTCAACACAACAGCAATCTGAGAAAACCATGGAGGGGGGCGGGGCTTAAGATTGAGGACTCCTCTAAACACGTGGGCGTGCGGCTTATTCCTAAAGGGTGAGGTCTTAACGAGCTAATTAAGATCAGTAACAGCTAACGGAAGTCTTAGAAAGCCGTTATGGAGTCCAAGCAGCCGCTCGTACACAGAGCAGGTCTAAGTAGTAATCATTAGAATCAAAATATACAAGAGCTCGACACTGAGGGGGGAGGGGCTTCCTTCAGTATAAAAAGCTAGGGCCGATGGTCGCCTGTGTCGTCGTTCAGCTTTTATTTACAAGAACAGAAGTTTCCAGAACAAAACAAAACGCGGTGAACTAGAGCGAATTATCGCAGCTGGCTAAAAGGAAACGGGGATCAGTGCATGGGGGGGTAGGCGGCGCTGCTCGGGATCAAACCAGCTCATAGATTCAGTCTAGTTCACCGGAGCCGCCGCCGCAGCGTCACATGACCTGATCAGAAGCTCTACAGGCACGGCTCCGTTTTTTTTTTTTTATGCAAGTGAAGCTGCGCAGTAGTTTGACATTAAACATCGAGTAGCTCTGAGATCTAGCTAGCACGGTTCAGTGATGAGGGCGGGGGGAGATAAAAGGGTGTTTTTCTCTCAGACGGTGATGGAGATGAGGAGGATGGAAACATGGAGGCTTTCCGATGGCGGATCATTCAGCTTTGCTGCGCTTCATGGCTCCCGGAAGTTTCTCTTGCAATCTGAGAGCGAAAAAAAAAAAAAGGATTAAACCAAAAAAACGTTTAATGTGAACCGATTCCGCAAAGACGGAACCGATACTTACTTTGCGATCGTGTTGTTGACCTGAGTGCGGATGAGGTCGATGTACTGATCAATCTGGGTCTGCAGAGGAAACAAACAAGCAGCTGATTGGGAGGAAAACTTTCCGCCATGTTGGCGGCAAACCGCCGCTAATCAGTGCAGCGAGTGAGGAAGACTTTCAGAGCTCGCACCGGAAACATCTAGAAATAAGTTAACGTTTCTTAAGTGTAATTTGAGGAGTTAAAAGAGATAGTTTGCCAATGGAATGAGTATTTTTACTCTTAAAATAAGATATTTAGATAATATTCACTTAAAATAATGCAATGGAATTGTTGTTTTCTTATTTTAAGTGTAAATGATCTTGTTCTATTTACAAAATGTTTCTTTTTTCTCCTCAATTCAAGAACAAATTCACGTATTTTAAGAAAAAAATGACGGATCTAGATTTGGATTTTTTCCAGTGCATCAGAGATCTGAGTTTTTTCACTTCATGTGATGATATGCTGAAGGAATGAAGAATATTTATGTCCTTAAAATGCTTCCATACGATGCATTCTAATAGGATAGATCTGTATTTTTCTCATTTTAAAAGTAAATCTTTTTATTGCAATATTCCAGATAAACTAATTTCAAGAAAACTTTTGTCAAATCATAGTTGTCAAAAATATATTCTGCTTAATTTTTATTTCTGTTTAGTTTTATTTTCAGTCTTTTATTCCTATTCGAGTTTAATTAAGAAAACATTTTTTCTGTTCAAATTTGCTTTTTTTTTTTTCCCAGCAAAAAGAGAAAACTTGATGGCGCTACCAAATCTCGCTCCATAAATCCCCAGATTGACACATGAGCATTTTTTAAAATCATTTTTCAGTTCTAAAAATATTATTTCAGATTCAAATCTTTCTTATTTGTTAAATTATTTACAGAGTTCAATTTTTTGGAGTATTCAAATATTTTTTTTCTATCAAAATCTTTTCAATTCAGCTTCATTAATGTCCAGCTGGGCACTTCAGCATTCTTGTTTTTTTTCCTGATTTCATTTTCAAAAATTATTTTCATTTTTAAATCACATTTTTTTTTTTTCTTTTTTACTTAGACAAAAATTAATAATAAAATTTTTTTTTGCTGAACTCTGCTTTCAAATAATATTTTTTTCAAATTTCATTTTGTTTTTTCCAACTTCGAGACCAAAGTTTTTAGTATTTTGGCCCCACTTTAGCTCCATAAATCCCCAGCTGGACAATTACAAATTTTATTATCAAATTGTCTTTGGCCCCCTTTTAGCTCCGTAGACTTTAACCAACTCCAGAAGCCATAACTCCTTCCCTACACCGGTTGCAGTGTTTCCATGTAGAGAAACTCGGTCGTGACGCTGGCGGCCATCTTGTCCGACGGCAGGATGACATCACGCTCTCAGCAGGAGAAAGCCTGCAGTGTTTGACAAAGGCTGCGACTCATCCAGTGAGATCACCCCTCAATGCTCCCAGCTGCCATGACTCTAACCCCCCTGTAGAAACACTCTTACCTTGTTCTTCTCGTAGATGGGGGGTACAGCGAAGAGCAGGATATCCGCTGGAGGACAGAGACACGCATTAAATGGAGGATCTACTACATGCTAAGCTAGCGCTCATTTAGTGATCAGATCAACGCTTATTAATGCTGAAGCTGCAGAGATGGATGCAGATCCAGAAGATGGCGATGGTTTCCATGGTGCTTACCGAGGATGAGGATGGTGATCCCGTTGAAAACTGCTCCCACATAAGTCATCAGCCACATGACCACAGCCAGCTGGGAGGAAAACGGAGAAAAATCAGAGCGGAAACATTTAGGAGAGACATCATCCAGCTTTTGTTCCTGGGCTGCAGAAAGGAGCAGGCGACTGCCTCCCCCACGCCTCCCCCACGCCTCCCCTCTGAGACACGCTGCACTCGTTAGGCCGGGACGACTGGACGTGTTTGGACAAGGACCCACAGTAGTGGGAGGGGCCTCTATGGAGACGTCCTGTTAATAAAACAATCACTTGTTTCAGGAATTATCCAACCCCCAGGCTCAGTGTATCACCTGACACACTTTCTATGCCTCAGTGGTTGAACCGAACACCTCGCCATGTCAGTGAAAGAATAAGGCTCCACATAAACATGGAAAAAAAAACACAACCGGGGAAATTCTGCTGTTTGCTCAGGGATCCTCAGGCTGCTGTAAAACTAATCAGTGTCTGATTTGGGAATTTATATTAATCAACGTAAAGAAATGTAAGACTTTTCAACGCCAACGTGGAAACAGAGCGGAAACGTTACAAAGTTCCACCTTCGCAGCAATAAAAGGTTGAATCCCAAATTTAGGAGCCGGAACCTCCTGATGAAGCAGTTACTCTCCTCACCCATCGGTGAGGGTGATGCATGGAAGCCAGAAGACGGAACCATCCAGACATTTTACTGCAGGCGCTGAAAATATCCATTAATCCGATTTCATCCTCTTCCTGTTTCATTTCATTTAAACGACCGCCGGCTGCATTACGCCACAAACTGCACCAGATGTAGCTCCATACTCGCTAAGCTGTTCTTTCCTGACTTCTGTTTGTAATTTCTAAACTTGTTATTTCATCCGATGTCATGAAACGACGACAGGAAACACAAACAAACCTAAAATGTCCTCAAGCTTATCGGCTTTTTATGTCAAATTCAGACGAATCGCATCGCAAACCTTCGGATGTTTCCATGTTTGCTTCATCAGTCATCTAGATCCACCCGGATTAACCCTTAATAGGGAAGGCTAGAGTTTCTGATACCTTACATACCCCCCCGTCCCTCAGTGAGATCCAGAGATGGGAAGTAACGAAGTACAAATACTTCGTTACTGTACTCAAGTAGATTTTTCTGGTATTTTTACTTTACTTTACTACTTATTTTTATGGCGACTTTTTACTTCTACTCCTTACATTTTTACACAAATATCTGAACTTTCTACATTTTAAAAAATTGGCTCGTTACTTTAGTTTTGAATCATTTCAATGGAGTTACCGTTATTATTCTTCACGTCATCAATACCAAATTCAATCTAATTGGATGGGAATCTACGTTGCATTTGACGCACCACTACAAGATGAATCGACAGATTCGGCGGTATTCATTGGCGGCGAATCATTGCAGCTTGGTGGCGGTGGCGTTAGCATAGTAGCATGGACGACGAGATGATTGAAAATGAACACAACGGAGATCTAGTCCTATTGGCAGACATCCATTTAAAATGTAGGCAACGGCATGAAAAAAGTGGTTTCTACTTTTACTTTTATACTTTAAGTACATTTACAAGCCTGTACTTTGTTACTTTTACTTGAGTAAAGAAGTTTAATCAGTACTTCCACTTTTACCAGAGTATTTTTTAACACAAGTATCTGTACTTTTACTCAAGTACGGAAAGTGAGTACTTTTGCCATCTCTGGCGAGATCCAGAAGTTCCACAAGATCTATATCCAGCCATTCAGCAAAGATGTTGCTACATGGCTGTACATCTGATTTTAGCATTTGACCAATTAGATGAGCCCTTAAATGATAGAAATTAAGTTGAAAAAAGAAAATAAAAAAGGTTCAAAGCTAATTGAAAAGTTAATAAGCCTAGTTAACAATCATATTTAGGTTTATAAACTAAAAAAATGTTTTGTTGGACCAAAAAAATGCGTTCTTTCACTCTTGAGTTTTTTCGAGAATTTCTTCTAGAAGCACTTTTGTTATTTTTCTTTTAGTTCTTTAAATTTTCCAAATGAAATCAGGTCTTTTCCTGGATTCCAATAAGACGATTGGCTGGAAATGTTGTTTTTCAAAGTATTTCAATGAGGAGCCTAAAAAGGGTTAAAACTGATCGTCTGACTAGATTGGTGGAAAATTGACTAATTTCAAAACAAAAAGTAAAAGAAAAGTGATTTTTTTTTCTTCCTCATTGTGACTCAATCACAATCTGGGTAAAGATGAAGGTATGGGGAAGCAGGGGCGGGGTCAGATACCTGAACTGTGACACGGCCCCTCCCAGAGCAGCCATGCTGCTCCACCAACCCTCAGCTTACTCACGGCTGAAGGCGAGGCCAGGAATGCGGCTCAGCCAGAGAGGCGTCCCTTTCTCCGGTTGGCGCGGCGCCCGTTTCTACTCAACGCTTTAACCTTTCATCAGAGAGACGCAGGTCAGCTGGAATCCAAAGGACCGACATGCAGAGCAGGCGTTCACGCAAACCGCACAGAAACGCCAGCTTCTGATCCACTATTCAGCCCATTTCCTGCAGCGTCTCACCTTCTGGAACATTAAGATCTGTTTGATCCGTTAATCTGCCCGTTTATGGAGCAAAGGAAATGACCAAACTAAAACCACCTGAAACTACAGAAAGGGTCCATCCTCTCCTCTCCTCCCTGAAGGTTTCTTCTCTGATGCTAAACTGATGACAGGGAAATTAACTCTTGTTAAGTAGCTATAAAAAGACGTGGCGCTGCCCCCAGAGGCCGGCCTCCATGAGACGCAGCGGAAACGCATTTTTCTAAATGGGCAGCGTAGATGGACGAGCATCCGCGGCGCCGCTCCTCACCTTTAGAGAGTCCACAAGGTCCTCAACCAGAAACAGGTGGCTCATCTGCTTCAGGGCACGGTTGATGTGGGTCAGGCTGGTGTCCACGTGCTTGCGGAACGTCTCCGGAGGGATGCTGACATCCTTCTCGATCAGCGCTCTGGATCGGGAGGAGGGAAGAAAATGAGATCACGGAATGAGGCTGACTTCCTTTGCTTCATGGAGCTCAGAGGTTCGACTTTAGAACATTAAGATCTGCAGCTCGTCCTTTCATTTAGTTCCATAACATGAAGAGTTATTAGCTCAAACATAAAGGTTTCACCATCATTAAGTTAAGAAAAACGCCAGGATAGCAGAGAGTATGGAGCTACATTACATACAAAAATAAAAAAAAGAAGAAGAAACTAAAAGGTATTTGGAAAGGAAAAAAGATTTCAATTTGAATAAAAAGAGAAAAGGATTTAAAAATGAACTATTTTTCGAAAAAAAAAAAAATAATTTAAACTATAAAAAAATTTAAAACTGAAATAAAAAGAATCTAATCTGAAGCAAAACAGAAAAGGATTTTCAAAATAAAAATATATATATATATATTTGGAACTTTTTTTTCACTATAAAAACATTTGAAACTGAAACAATAAGGATAAACTACAAAGTTATTTGGAAATGGAAAAATAGAGAAAAGGATTTTTTTTTTTTTTTTTTCAAAATAAAAACAATATTTGAAACCAAAAAATAAATTTTTTAAGTGTTTGAAACTGAAAAAAAAAAAAAAAGGAATAAACCAAAAAGTTATCCTGAAAGGAAAAACAGATTTAAATCTGAAAACGAAAGATAGAGAAAAGGATTTTAAAACAAGTATTTTTCAAAATAAAAAAGCTATTTGTAACTAAATTTTATAAAAACTATAAAAACGTCTGAAACTGAATAAAAAATAGGGATACACTAAAAAGTTATTTGGAAAGGAAAAAAATATTGTTAAATATAAAAACAAAACCAAGAGAAAAGCATTTAAAACTGAGGTATTTTTCAATCTATAAACCAATATGAAACTAAAAATGTTTGAAGGTAAAAAAAAAAAAACAAATAAAAAAAAACAATTCTAGTTCCGACGACCCCTGAATGCAACAGCAGGGAAAATTAGTCCAGGGAAGTCCTGATCCCATATCGGCAAATTAAATAAATATCTGAATATATCTGCCCTCATCTAACGTGAGATTGTTTCACGCTGATACAAACCCTGCATCCATCAGATTTAAAGCCGACACGCCTTTCATAGGCGTTGCCTCTCGGAGCGGCCACAGGGCGGTGCATTTTGGAGAGGGCGGCTCTTTTCATAAATTCGTGACTATACTTATACCGTTATACCAATATACCTTTAAGCTACATTAGTTTTAACAGTGGCCGCCACTAACTGTTGGGAATCAGATGTTCAAAGTTTACTAAAGAAACTACAGACTTGCTCGGTGTGAGAAAAGGCGCCATCCATGAGGATGGACTCATTTTCCAAAGATTTGGAACAAACATTCTGGCCCTAATTTGGCCCCATACATGGGCGGTGTGTTTGGGTCTTACTTGAACGGGTGTCCGTCGCTGGACTTCTGCACGGCCTGGATGACGGACTTGTAGATGCGGAAGGTGATGGTGACGCAGAGCAGAGCCAGCAGCAGGTAGGAGATCACGCTGATGACGCTGAAGGCCGCCAGCGACAGCAGCAGCAGCAGCGACAGGCCGAACACCACGCCAGACTTCTTGGGGTCCCGCCAGTGAATCAGGTCGTGGACTGCAGGAGAGTCAGAGGGGGGGTTAGATTCTTCCAGTGGACGCCGTAGTTGGGCTGGTTCTGTGTGGCTGCGTGTCACATGACCTGCTCTGACCAATCAGGTTACAGATGTTCAAACTTCTGGTTTCACCCTCACAGAAGGACCCAGACCAGAAGTAAAATGATCAACCAGCCAGAAAGATAACGATGCTAGCGCTAGCCAAGCTTTTGTTCATTATAGGCGATGCGTTCAAGAACCACAGGAGCGTTTCTAAGCAACCGCTACAGAAGAATTTCAACATTTTGGTCCAGTTTCTTCAATATTTCCAAAAATAGAAAAGATTTTTATTAATTTAAATGTCTAATCAATTATTTAAAAAGCAGCGGCACGATTAGCATGAATCTCCCCACTGGGGGGCAGTAAAGGTCAGCATGATAAATATTGGCTTTATTAGGCAGAAGGAAATCGTTTCTTTAGCTCTGGGATAATTAGTAAACCCCAATTTTCCCAAAAAATCTAAACAAAAAATAACCCTTAAGGAGAAGCCGCCCCCCCCGTCAGTCGGCCATTTTGCCCTCAGCGTTTGGGAAGGGAACATGTGGCTGCTTGGTGTTTTCTGCATCTGAACACAAAACAAGACCAAACCAAGTTGAACAGCAGCTGCAGCAGGAGGAAGTAGCTTTAAATGGAGGAACCATGCAGTCTTTGCAACGCCTGAGTTTTAAGAAAACAATAATCTACTGTAAAAAAGACGAGGCAATGTTTACATCTGACAGAACGGGACCACAAAGGTCTCCTCCCAGCATGCTTTGCACTCTGCACCCACAGGGAAGCAGCCAGAGTTCAATAATCCTCCTTCTTCTTCTTTCCCTCTCAGCCTCGCTGCGCTCTGCCGAGGCACAGCGGCCTACTTTCCCAGAGTTCTCCCTTTTAAATATAGAAACTGGCAAAAACATGGCTGCAGTGCTGAGTGCAAAGCGGCAGGAGGCGAAGGCCGGCGAAGCTCTCCGCTCGTTGCCCATTTCAGCGCCGTTGCTGCAGGCGGCGTTTTTTCACAGCAGCTTGGATCAAATCTTCTCTAATGGATGGAGAGAACAACGAAGGAGCGATGAATGAAATCGCTTTCACAGACAGATTCAACTGCTGACCATAGGATTGCATGATTCACTGGTATGGAGCTAAATTGGTGCCATAAAGTTTGGTGAAAAACATTTGTTTTAAGACTGGAAAAAAGTTACTTTTTAAATAAAAAGTAATTTTTTTTCTTCAGATTTATCTTTCTTATTTTAGATTTTTTTTCTCTACAAAACCACCGTTCCCTCAGCATGGGGGCGGGGCTTAGATGATATGGGATGTGGACCAATAAGTGTTGAGGGGGGCCGGGATCATATTCCCAGCTGTTGCCTTCAGGAACTGTGGGAAATAAATAATAACATCATATATATTCTATGTTTATATTACAGGTTTAAAAAATGTATAGTGCTTAAAACTTGTAAAGTAATTTTAAGGATTTTTATGTAGTTTTAAATATTTAGTAATTTGAAAAATATTACAGTTTTAAAGATGTTTTTTAAATCAGTTCTCAAAAGTAAAAAAAAAAAAAAAGTATTGACTTAAACTTTGATTTATTTGTCTTTTTGTTTACACAAGAGTAAAACAAAAATAAATGTAGTTTAGAACAGCTCTCTAGGTACTGTGCTAAAGACTCAGAAAGTAGATTTAACCATTTCTATATGGTTTGAAATGTTTAGTAATTTGGAAAATATTTCAGTTTTAAAGATGTTTTTTAAACATCACAACAGGGTTCCCACGGGTCCTTAAAAAGTCTTAAAAGGCATTGAATTCTTCAAAATAAAACTAAGGCCTTAATTGGTATTAAAATGTCTTCAATCAGTCTTTCGTAGGTCCTAATTTTTAAAACATCATAAATAGGATTATTTTTATTACGATTTATTTTTGTTATCTAAATAAAACATTAAAATTGACTTTTTCTATTTTGTATTAGAAAAAAAACCGACTCGGCATTATTGGTTCCGTCCCGATAGCGGAACCCATAAAAGCGTTGTTGCGGCCGGGACATTTGAGAGATGCGCCATTAACTTTTTGTCTGGAAAATATGAGCAATTTGAAACGTTGGTGCAAAGGTTTATGTTGAAATAAACCTTTGGGTAAAGTTGTCGAAAGCAGGTTTTTCTTGTGTTTCTTGTAAATTTGGTCTTAAAATTTTTATTTCAAGTGGCATTAAAAAGTCTTAAAGTCTTAAATTTAACTTGCCTTATGCTGTAGGAACCCTGTTAAAATCAGTTCTCAAAAATACTTGTTTTTAAACAAACTTTATGGCCCCAATTTAGCTCCGTACCACATTGAAGATGTAACCATAAAACAGCTAATATCATCTCCCCATAAACAGACAACAGTGGAGTGTTTCAGACCAGGACCTCTGCTCTAAAATCTGTGATCACAGAACCAGAACCAGAACCAGAACAGACGTATTTAAGCCGTGAAAACCGAAATCCTAGAACAGTAAAAAACAAACGTCCATCTTTGCTGCTCTACAGAACGAGCGGTAATGAAAATGAAACTTGAAGCTGCTGGTCTCTGGTTGCGCGCTGAGTCAGCCGTCCGCTGAATGTGTCAGGATGACCCTCTGCATACCGCCCGCCGTGTGAACGCAGAGGGAACGGGTCCCTCGCTCACCACAGCCAAACATGTTGGGAGAAATTCATCGATCCGATAAGCTGAGGAAACAAACTGATCCTCCCTGGAAGCGAATGAAGAAACGGCCACATCAGCTGGGAACCATCCGTCCCCTCGGATGGCATCTTGTTGAAAAGCCTGGGTATAAAATGACGGCACCAGAATAACTCTGCATCAAGGCCGCGCTCTCGACTCTGATTTTCTGCTCCGTGCGAACGCTGCAGCCAGAAACCCGACCCAGGGATTGACTGTACCCTACCACTTTCAGACCTCCTCCACTGAGCCGCCATGTTTAAAGCCTAAACCAGGGGAGGACCACTGGCGAGCTGGAAAGGTCAAAGGGCAGGAGGGGGTCATGGGCTCAGTTTACTGAGGATCACATAAGCAGCCTTAGTGTCCATAAGCCGAGGTGCAATAAGCTACGCCGTCAGTCACTGCAGCGTTTCCTATTGAAACAGCTTTATGGGATGTCTGGTTCACTAGTGAACAGAAGAGGAAATAAAAGTGTCATAGTGCCAAACCGCTACTCTAACAGACAATATATTTAAACATCAGGAGTAAATCAGTGTTTTACCTACTTTATTTGCCATTTTTAATTTCACATTCAATGTTGAGAATGTCAAACATCTCCAGCTGCTGCATAACTTCCTTCTGATCTTTGGGGCCGTGCATGTACCGTCATGATTGGATACCTCCTCCGCCTGTTCCTGCTCACCACGCGTCGCCCACAATTTAGGACGTTCAATAAAAAACATTTCACTCTCCTCTTGGATCTCTTTTAAACTAAATAAATAAAGGAAATGCATATAACATGATTTAAAAACTGCCAAAGACTTGTTTGTCTTTAGGAGTCCAAGCCTATTTGGCTGGAAGTGTTTCGTATGGGGTAAGATTACTGTCAAAAATGTATTTCTTAATTTTTAAATGGTTTAAGATTTGTATTTGTTCCTTTTTGTGACGTCGGATGTTTCTTTTGTGAGAACACAAGTTCAGAGGTTAAAAAATACAAGTTACAAAATACGAACGTAAGATTTACCGGTACGGATCTACAAACCTAGACAAAGCTGTTATACTCCTTACCAGTTGGTGGCAGCATTGCGCTTGAAGATTGTTTGCAAACCCGCAGTAAATGAAAAGAATAAAAGGAAAACAGACCACTGAACATTTTACTGCACATGCGTGTAAAACAATATTTCAACAAAATATTGTGTGTTGTATAACACAATCGAGTTTCGTTTTTCTCTTCTTGATTTGTGCCCGTTGCCGAACTATCAGCTGCATTACTGCCCCCAGGTGGTAAGGAGTGTAATAGATTCAGAGGTTGAAGATTTGTGCTTGTAAATATCAGACTCGTATTCGTAAATTTCAGACCTGTACTCAAGATTTAACGTTTTATGTATTCATAAAGAGGAAACATCTGATGCAAAATGAAAAAAGGAATTAACAGGAAACAAATACAAATGTTACATTATTGACTTAGACGGCTACGCACATAGGTGTTAAAAGTATTAATGTTTATTACATCAGTAGAGGATAAATCCTGATGTTTAAAAACACTTTTGTAGAAGTTAGAGAATAAATTTCAGCTTTTTGCTCCAGTAAAAGTGTAAAAGTACCATTTTTAAGGTATAGGTAATGCAGGAAAAACTGTTAAGGCCAGAAGCTTTACTGCTCCACCCTATTAAAGGAACATTTTCTATAATTCTGGATGATAACTTCCTTAGACTTATTTTTCTTAGTTTTATAACTAATGGTAACAGTGTCACATTTAACTTTGCATCATCTTGAAAAAAAATTTGTTTTGGCATGTTGAGAGCAACAAGTTGGGGCAGCACTGAGTCCAACCACAGAGAAAATAATTGTCTGGATGAAACTAATTATTTTGATGGGTTTTATTTTTTTTAAAATACCAACAGGCCATAAGGAAAATTACCTTAAATAAAACAAAACTACTGAATCTGTTTTTAAAATGTAAGAAGTAAAAGGAAAAGGTTATCTAAAAAAACAAAAGTATAAATAGCCAACATTTCTACTTAAGGTAAATTATTTGTACTTAGTTACTTAAAAATCCTCTGCCTACACATTCATTTTTTGATGACTGGTATGTTACCCCATAGTTTCAGAGCGAGGCGCGTGATTGGACCAGCCAGGATTGGGTCACCGCGCCATGGTAGAGTACTAATAGGTTTAACATAGAACAATGAACCATTAAAGTGGTTATCTGGCCACTACAACCCGCATCTAATCACCTTCTTTAGATCTATGATGGAAAAGTGATTCGTTTTTCAGGCCGTTTTTCTTTTATTCAACGCTTACGTTTATAATGGGTGTTGATTATATCTATAGACTTTATTACATAATCCAGAAAATGCGATTTTCATTAACAATAGGACTCCGAGAATTCTGATCCTACTAGAACTCCCACTGGCCGCCAGTTTGATGGGTGACATTTTTCCCAAACGGAACGCATGTGCGCGATTAGTGATGATGTCATCAACTGAAATGGTTCTAGTGCGCGATATAATTTCGTTGTGGATAAGCAGACTTTGAAATAGGTCTAATTTATATTTTGTTTAAAGACTGTATTGTATGATATTATCGCTATCATCAATATTTTGAAGCATTTCTAAACGCCTGTTTCGCGGTTAGATTTCTTCTGAAAGACATTTTTTGGTATTAGCCAAGGAGTTCAAGGTAGAATGTTGGTTGCTAGGCAACGGTACGAACGTCAATCAACCGCAAGAAGAATTTACAATGCAATTAACAGAGCCATCAAAATAACGACTGTGGGAGATTGAGGTAAAATTAACCATATTTATTTTTTATGTTTTTATCTTATTAGAAAACTATGTGAAAATGAAGGAAATATAGAAACAGGAAAAGTCAGTTAGCATGAGCAACATATGATTAATCGAAAAGTTATTTCCCTTTAAAATCTCAACCGTTAGAATGAAGGCCTTGGGAGTTCTAGTGTTAGCTTGTGAACTTAACCAGACCCACTTTGCTTTTTTTCAATAACAATTGCGTCCAGATGTACTGGATGCAAGCGGCAGCACATCTGGGATGATCAGAATTGCATCGGATGCAGCCGCCCTCACTGACTAGAAGCAAACCTCTTAGAAATTCGGTGGAAGTGAGGGGTAAGCAGATGAAAACAGCCCAGGAACACCCAACGGGATCCAACAAAACACATTATAAAGTTGACAACTATAAAGTCAATTGAGTAAAGCCGGGCATACACTGTGCGATTTTTTTACCCTTTTCTGGCCGACTTTCCAGTTGTGCGAGAATTTTTTGATTGGGCCGACTTTCAGCCTGATGGTGCGTTGTACGCGGTTTAGTGTACAGGGGGTAACAAGGGGCAATCAGTCTCTAATGACCACCATCAGGAATCTTAAGGTCGGGAGAAAATCAAACATGGTTGAAATTCAGTCGGCCGTCATAAGGTGGTTGTGGGCAAATCGCTCAGTGGGGAAACTTCTTCCTCTCAAAGGGAAACCCAGAAGCACGGTGGGGGTGCAATAAGTGAAATGCAGTTCTTTCTATAAAATTGACAGACTGTAGTAGCCATGTTTGCTCAGCCATGTCTTTGTCCAAAAACGTCGTCGCCTTTTAATTTTTGGTCTTTCAGCACAAAAATCGCACAAATAGCCAAGGCAGCGCGTTTCACTCTAGGGAGCTTCATATTCCTCTTGTACTCATTTGGTTTCCGGATAGACGAATCCGAGTAGCGCCATCTCACTGCAGAGCTGAGTCCTATGTGGTTTTTAGACGTACAGTGTGAGCAGGTAGATCGCATCAGAGCGTCGGGTCGCACAGTGTGAGAACAAACATCGTGAGCTGGGAACTTTTAAACCCTGCGGTTTCGTCTTACAGTGCGAGTTGTAGCTGCATGCAACGATCGAAAAAAGAAAAATAAATCGCCCAGTCTATGCCCAGCTTAAATAAACCTTTGACGAAGACTTTACCATTCACTGCTTTTACGACTGACCCTTATTTATCTTGTCGAGGTGGAACAGTGTGCAGAGGATTAGGGCACAGACCTTAAGCAGCGTGTAGGTGTGTGTGCATCATCTTTGAGGGTCTCCCTGAAGGGAGTGCGTGCGGTTAGCAGGCCTACCGCCCAGAGGGAAGCATTGTTACCTGATAAGTGGGTTAGTATTGCTGTCAAGACATGCTCTGCAAGATGGTAGGCTTCAGCTACCCATTCGTCTATGGCCTCCACCTCACTGGAATACGGGCGGATGCTCTGGTAGCAGGGAGGTTTGGCGTCTGAGGAAAAGGATGGCGGCTGTGTTGGGGTAAAATCTGACTTTGGCTGATTCTGATTAACGGACTCTTCCTCATCTTCTTGGTTGATGCTTAAATCTTTAAGAGCACTGATTGTGAGGCACTCTTGTTCTAAATCTGTGGCCGTGCTTGGAGAAGCCTGGGAGTGAGGGGGGAACGATGCGTCATACGGAAGCTCCAGATGGACATTGTCAGTTTCTTCATCCTGCTTTGACTTGAGGCATTCTCGCATGAATTCTAAAAAACTATCCACAGGCTCAGAAGCGGAGCTGCTGACGTTAGTTCCTTCTGGGTCCAACTGAGATGCAAGCATGTTGCCGTTTTCCTCGTCGTCTGCATGGATGTTGACATTAGTTTCCTCCACGACCTCTTGTCTTTCAGCAGAGCTCATCGTCTCACCTTGGAAACTGGAGTATGGGTTCTCTGGATAATCTTCTAAAGATGGTTGGCTATCAGATTTAGCAATGTCATCGCCGTTCAGCGAAATGGCGCTGTCCAGATCCAGTTTGTCGTCGGCGTCGTCCTTTTGAGCCGGATCAGACAGGAAGCGTTCCTTTGCGTTCAACTTTCTCACATCAAACTGATCCAGAGAAGAGCCTATGTCAAAGTCGTAATCAAACGACTGTCTGTCGTAGATATCGTCCTGCATGAAGCTGGACATGGGAGGAGCAGCAGGTTTTACATAAGCTTCTTCTGCTGCTGCGGTGATCGTTTCTCTGACCGCAGGCTGGTTGGGCATGACGGGTTCTTGAGATGACGGATCAGCTCTTGAGGGTTTGAAAAGTATTTCCTGGGCTTCATCTGACCAATCGTCGTCATTGTCGGGGAAATCTACTTCTTCGTTTCCTCCTTCAAAAGGGGAAGTTTCTTTGCCGATTTCATTTTCTATGTTCTGCGTTTTGTCCGCCGGATTGGGGAACACCTCCGACTTTAGGCCAGACGTCTCATCCTCCGTTCCAGACGTAGAGTCGAGAATCTTGTGTTTTGGGGAATATTCAGATTCTGAATCCACAGGTGAGGATGGAGGCGAGTAGCCTTCCATAAATTCAGTTTCTAATGGTCGAGTTCTGATCAATTTATCTTCGTAGCTTTGTGGTTTCGGTTCCGGAGTGTCTGGACCTTTCACAACCTCATAGTCATCATCTTCCTCCACCTCGAGTTCCATCTCTTCGTCGCTGTAATTGGGTTCGTCAGTCTCGATCACATTTATGGTTGGAACCTGCATTAGCCTTCTCTCTGGCTTTGGAGAAGCTGCTTCTTTCTTATCTGTGGAAGCATCAGCAGGTGTCTGCGTAGGATCAGTGGTGTCATTAGATCCAGTTACAACAACATGATCCTCAATGACTGTATCATCTGACTCTCCTGAACTATCTCCTTCATTTGCCTCTGGTTGCTCTATGTCTCCCATCCAAAAGCCTTTATCAGAAATGTTCTGATTGGCGGCAGTGCAGATGGGAGGCGACGAAGGAGGAGATGTGGACCCAAACCCTGCGGGAGGAGCAGGTGAAGCCATCATCATCGAATCAATATTAGATGGATCCTCTACACTTGATTTGCCTTTAGGATCCCACATGTAAGCCGTTGGCAAAAAGCTAACATCAAACTCTTCAACCTCTGATTTTTTCTCTTCAACAAATTCCTCTTTTTGTGTTGGACCTTCAACGGGTCGATCCATGAAAGCATCGGGAACGTCAGCAAATGCAGGAGGTATCTCTGTACTCGTCTCCTTTCTAAAGTCCAAGTTTGTGCTTTTAGTGAAACCACCAACCTCAAAATCTGGCACCGGGGGTAAATGTGCCTTCATCCACTGTTCGGTCTCCTCAAATTCACCAACTTTTCTCGTTTCTCCAAGGATTTCAAACGGTGATTCTGGTGACTCCAGATCAGCACAACTGTCTGTATTCTGAGGCCCCTCGGCTGCAAATTTGGAGCTTTCATTGGAAGATTTGAGCCCCTCGGCTGCAAATTTGGAGCCATCAGTGGAAGATTTGAGCCCCTCGGCTGCAGATTTGGAGCTCTCAGTGGAAGATTTGAGCCCCTCGGATGGAGCTTTAGAGCGCTCAGTGGAAGATTTGAGCCCCTCGGATGGAGCTTTAGAGCTTTCAGTGGAAGATTTGAGCCCCTCGGATGGAGCTTTAGAGCTTTCAGTGGAAGATTTGAGCCCCTCGGCTGCAAATTTGGAGCTTCCATTGGAAGATTTGAGCCCCTCGGCTGCAAATTTGGAGCCATCAGTGGAAGATTTGAGCCCCTCGGCTGCAGATTTGGAGCTCTCAGTGGAAGATTTGAGCCCCTCGGATGGAGCTTTAGAGCTTTCAGTGGAAGATTTGAGCCCCTCGGCTGCAGGTTTAGAGCTTTCAGTGGAAGACTTGAGCCCTTCGGCCACAGATTTGGAGCTTTCAATGGAAGACTTGAGCCCCTCGGCCACAGATTTAGAGCTTTTAGTGGAAGATTTGAGCCCCTCGGCTGCAGGTTTGGAGCTTTCAGGGGAAGATTTGAGCCCCTCGGCTGCAGGTTTGGAGCTTTCAGTAGGAGATTTGAGCCCCTCGGCTGCAGCTTTAGAGCTTTCACTGGGAGATTTCAGCCCATCGGATGCAAATTTTGAGCCTGCTGTAAGTGATTTGAGCCCTTCAGGAGCAGATTTTTCACCGTGTCTTTCCCTTAAGTGAGTAAAACTTCCATTGCCTCTAAAATCTGGTTCCTTTTTTTTGGCTGCAAGGGCTTCGAGTGCCTTGATTCGCTCTGAAACTGGAGACACTTTAATTGGAGAATCTTGTCCATCTGTTGGAGACGTGTCAGTGCTGTAATTGCTAGGTGAGAATGAGCCTGGTTGAGAAGAAAACCGGAGGGATGAGGCTACACCTTCGGCGGACTTGTCAGAGCCTAGGACCCCTCTCTTGTCTGCATCGTTACGAACAGGTGATAGTGAAGGGGACAAAAGTAGGGAGATTGATAGTCACTACTACTAATCTTCCATGCACTTCTACTACTATGAGGCTACGCCTTAAAGTAGCAGCCAAAGCATTCATGCATTGCATCATGAAAATGTAAAAACGCATTCATAGTGATGGGTTCCTTGTTTATGCATGCTTCTCTTAAGTTATTATAATCTAAACAAAGCATCATGAAGCACTCAGGCTGGCAACTTGGTTCTGACTTATAAATAGTGAGGCTCTAATGAACGCTGTAACATATTTATAAGCACTATATAACGTAGCAAATGCATATGACTAAAAACACAGACTACTTGCAGGCTCAGTTTCTTTTTGACTGTAGCAGTTTTCTCCTGTTTTGAATGTAATGAAAAGAATGTAAAAACTCAAGAGCTTCAAAAACTTTCTGACATTTTTTGTAAAAACAAAACCAAAATCTTTTTTTTAAGTTTCTAAATATTTTCAGTTTCAGGTTTACGTTCCCATTCTGGCTGCATATTTCTCCTTATCTTTTGATAGATTCTACGAGGTTGTAGATGTATGCGGATGTAAATTGTTTGTGTCTGAGAGGGAAGTATGACACTAAAATGCACCTCTGTATGGTTCAGCAATCGGAGCTCATCTTTAATGGGATAAAAAGCACTTATTTCCTCTCAGTGGGTCTCTAGAAGCATTATTTTAGTTTCCTGGCTCGTTTTAATGCTTACTTTCATAGTTTTAACATTGACACGCCTCATTTTAGTGCATTTTAACATCAACAAAACAGTAATAACAGTGATAAGGTTTTATAAATATAAGTCATGTTTTTTATTGGTCAATACTATGGTTTCCCACTTCCAATATCCCGCTGCCTGATTAATATTAAGACATCAACACGATCTGACCTCGCATCGGCACAAGCGGACCTTTTCGCCGGAGCCTGACTGTTTCACTTTGTCTTGAATTGGACCCGCCACCTCTCTGCTTCACAATACAATGCCTTGTTCAAACTAGGCCACAAGCACGGACTTTCCATCTGACCAGCAGCTCTGTTGTCTTTTGGCTCTGTACTTGTAAACAAGCTCCCAAATGCTTAGTGATGTGACAATGCATTCATAGCACCGCAGCTATTTGACCGAGAATAATAAGTCAGGAGTTTCTTTAGAAACAAGGTTCATTAGCGGAGATCAGTAACTTTTAAGATTGTTTAATGGTAAGAAAAGCCTCGTTCTACTTGTAGAAAAAAACCTACATAATGGATATGAATGTTGTTACTGGTGTATGTCTATTATTGATTGGAAAATGGTGATTTAAACCGGCCAATTTTCCTTAATCTGCTGAAATCTCACAGCTGGGGGACAGGTAGCCCTTTGAGAGTCTGTGCTTCTTCCATTTTAAAACAACTCTGGTTATTTCCATTCTTCTTTCAGAACAGCTTTAAACTGATGAAGAGCTGCTACCTGTAGCAGGTAGGGAGCTAAATTGAGCCTGGAAGGTTTGTTTAAAAAAGTTTTGAAGAAACTATGCGGCCCAAATAGCCTCGTGAGACCATCCTCTCTCGCAAGCTTTCAAGGTTTTACTCGCAGATCAGTCTGGAGACTCTCCGTTGAAGAAAATTTGGAGCCGTTCACCAAACGAACATCCAATCAGCGTTGGCTTTGAGGCGGGTTGAGGTGTGACGCAACGAGAAGCGCGACAGTTCAGTCTAAAGAACATGGCGGCTTCAGCCGATGAAACTAGCGTTAGCGTGGCTATCGAGCAAGTTTTATCGGAATTACAGAGTATTTCTTCACTGAAAGAAGAGCAAAACACTGCTCTGGAGGCTTTTCTCAGAGGAAAATATGTTTTTGCTCTTCTCCCCACTGGTTTGGGCGAGAGTTTGATCTATCAATTGGCTCCTCTTCGTTGTCGCTCTGTTAGTACGTCATATGCTTCGTTGATCTGATTGGTTTATTTGGCCAGTCTATCACCAACATAGGCCAATCAGCTAACCAGTGTTTTCGCCCCTTCCCAAAATTACTTCAACGGAAGGTTTCCAGATGGATATGTGGAGCAAATCCATCTGGTGGAGTCCGGTTATGGTCCAAATTCCTTATATCAGAAAAATGGTTGATCGCCGTAGTCACATAACTCAAGAGGAAGCTAACAAGCTACTCTGTTCTAGCGCATTTCCCCAATGAAAACATTCATAATAGCAGGATACATTCCTATCTTAGCAGATATTAGTTTTTGCAAGAGACCGTGATTTTGTTTGGTGAAGCTGTTTTTAAAGTCTGCCTTCTGCGTTGGCGTAGATGGTCAATGATCAGTCATCAGTTCTGTCCAGGAACCACTTTATCCTGAGGAAGCTGGATCAGTTGTGCTGCAGCCAATGAAAATATGATATATTCCCTTAAATTCAAGATATTAAAGCAGAACATGAGCCAGATTGATATGTCCAGGTCTCCTTAGCTTCGTAATGTCCCTCAATCGATACTTTCTAAATTTACTGAAATAAAATCTCAGAAAAAAACAGTAAAAAATAAGAAAAAAAAAGAAGAAAATATGTGTGTAATTTTTAGCAATGAACACTTTTTTCTGTTTTCCAGAGTAACTCTAAACCCATGCAGCTAATTCTTAATTAGTTTGAAAAAGAACATAATTTACAGAATCGGGAGAAGGTTAAAAAAAATTTATATTTATAGTCTCTAATGTAAAAAAAACAATAAATGATTGATGTCATGTTGTAAAGTCTTTCTGCTTGACTCAATGGTCTATTCTAATGTTAGCTTAGAATTAGCTTAGCGTTAGTTGAACGAGTATTTTTTTTTTTTTTTCTTTTAGGGTGTTTCAGGACTACAAAAGAAAAAAAAATATTGGACTGATAATAAATAACACATATCAAAATTTATGCTAGCATTAAATTGGTCAAATAAAATACTTGCAGAATAAAAGTATTTATTTTATTCAAAACAAAAATATTTATAGTATATAAAAAATAGCTTTTTTTACATTGTGACGAATCCATAATATAGAAATATTAACTTAATGTCACGATGTCATTGTTGACAAACTAGTAAGTTCAATGTTTGCTTTGGTTAGCGTTAGCATTAGCGGAGCGGGTAAATGGCAACAGTACAGAAAGAGAGCGGCGTCACTACCCGATCTGTCGCGGCGGCCGATCCATCCTGCGCATGCGAGAAAAGGATAATTTCCTGGTAGGCAATACTTTGTTTTTTCTTACTTTTTATTCTTTTGTCATATTTTGGGGGGGGTCATATCGAATATTTTTGCGTAAATATTGCGCATTCTACAAACGAAAAAAGCGACACGTTTAAATAGCCTTTGGAACGTTAGTGTGACTGTTCTGAGCATTTCCGATGATCACGTCACGCAACACAATGGAGAGAATATAAAACGTATCCATTTCTTCCAGAAAAGTCTTCAATATGATGTAGTTTAGCAATCTTTAATGTTTAAGTATATAAATAAGTACTTTCAGTACCGTTATTACGTAGTTTTCGGCGATCTGGATATTATAATTCCGTTTGTGCATGAATGGGGCGGATCGGGTAGGGACAAGCGTTCAAAAAACTTCCTTTGCGCCACTTCCTGGATGGGAGGAGCTAAATTTGCAGCCATCATCTTTAACAGTAATAATTATTATTAAGTAGAGTTCAAACATAAGCTAGCAGATAATATTTCATCATTATCACAACCAAATAGTATCTAAAATAGTTAATTGTGTAACACATTATTGCTGCATCAAAGAGACTGGATGCTGCCTTATCCACGGCAGGACGAGTCGTTTTAAAACCAACCTGTTCAGTTTTGCTTGATTGGTCAACATCAATATTGTCAAGCTGTATCAGTTAAGGGCTTTATTCCCGAAATTATACTTCATTTATGAAAAATACATTTTCCCTGTGGTGCTAAAACACTTCATTTATAATAATCCACAGGTCAAAAAGAGGCTGTAAAAAAAAAACCCAAAAGAAAAGAAAAACAAAGAAGAAAACTACTGAAAGAAAACCTACTTTGGATGTTTTTAAGACATGCACAAACCCTAATGAGCAGGAAGCGACTAGGAGGATGGAACGTGAGTGAGGAGCAGCAGGCGATGGACGGCCCAGACCACTAGGAGGTGGATGATATCTCCAGTGCCACTCATCCTCTGGAGACACAGCTGATACTGGGGGGGGGGGGGGGGGGGGGGGGGGGGGGGGGGAGCTACTAGGGCAGCTCGGAGGTAGGAACAAGGTCTGGGGACAAAAACCTGAGCTACTTTTAGGTTTCTGCACAATGTGAACTTGAACTTCTCTGCTTTCTTAAAATAAGGCAATCTTGGGATTATCCTGAACTTGCTGTCAGTGATGCTGACCTAAATAATGCTCGCTAGCAGCTGCTAGAGTGCATTGGATTAGCCTCCTGGCATCACCAGAAGCCAAGTTCTCCAGGTGTAATGGTTAGTTTAAACGCTGTGGAGATGGGCGAGCTAAAAGATGCTAAAGGTAGCATTATCCAGCTGGTCTAACGTATAGAAATAACCTCAAAAGGCTTTTTAAGTGAGCTCCTGCTGCTCGGGACACGCCGTGCACAGACGCACAACTAGCACGCCTAAAATTAACTCCCAATGAAACCCGTAAAGGTCGAGCTGGCTGTTTCTGGCCTTCGCTGCAAAGGTTGCATATCTGGTTGCATCACAGCTGAGATATTAAGAAATGCACAAATACTTTGAGTCCCAGAAAACTGTGAAAGACACCTATTAGCCAATTTCAGTTAGCAGAGCTGGAAACAGATGTGGAAAACCCCGTTTGAAGAAACTAGGACTAGTTGAGGTGGGGAAGGAGCTGCGATCGGGGTGGGAGCTGCTATTTTTATCCAACTGGTTTGTGGCATTTTTATATGCAGCCCTGCGAGCGGGAGAGGGGCACTAGAAGGAGGGATGGAGGAGCAGGAAAGCAACAGGCCAGCAAAAGAAAACAATATGGAGGAAAAGAGCAGGTGAGCAGCATTAAAGAATCCAGACACTTGCCTTGAGAAGACTGAATGAGAGATACAGGCGAATAGGAAAGAAAGGAATCTGAAAAGATGGGAAAAAAAGGACAGAAAAATGATCATACTATAAAAAGGAAAAGAAAGAAAACTCTACTACTGAAACCCATCCAAATAAGACATTCAAATCAAGAGAAAAAAAACTTTAAATCATCTTAAAAACTCTAAATGTTGTAAGAACTTAAATCTAAGAGTGAAAAAGAGCAGCAGAAAGAGCTGTAACCAGAAAAAAAAACATTTCAGACACAAAACCATGAAAGATTTCAACAAAAAAAACTAATCAGCTGGAATATTTACTGTGACGGTAGAAGGGACACATTAAACGATTTTAATCACAAAATAACAGCTACCTCATTTCAATATGGAGAGAATTATACTCCATTATTGTTCAAAGCAAAGAGCAGGTTTTCTAAATGGAAATCTGAAAAAAAAAGCAATCCAGAAACAAAATATTAAACAAACTATTTAATGAGTCATTCATTCGTTTGAGCAAATAAATAAAATAGAAGAAATGTTTACAAATATAAAAACTTAAATACGAAACATAGCACAACTGCTCAAATGGAGACGAAGTTAAAAACCTAAAAGCGTCCGACCCCACCTCTGTCCTTAACACTAAATAGCAATGTTGCCTCACAAGTTTCTATTAAAAAAGAAACTTTTTTAAGAGTTGATTTTACTTTTTTTTTTTTCAGTCTGGATGAAATCATCAATAAAAATATTCTTGTTAGCATCCATTCAGACCAATAGAAATGAGCCTTTGATTCTTAATCAACATTAATCTGAAAAAGAGAAATTAAACAGAAATTATAGATGTAAAATTATCCAGAAAAAAAAAATTCATCATTGGGAAACATTGAAAAAGTTTAAAAAAAATTAATATAAAAAAAAAAAAAAAAACACATTTACTCCTAAAATTAAGAAGTTTCACAAAGTTAAATGTTTGGATTACCAATGTTTTATTTTTTACATTTCCATCTACAAACTGTGCTCTTTACTTGCAACAATAATCAAAAAATATTCTTCATATTTTTAAGGTTATGGAGATAATTGGGGCCATAAATGTTGTTCCAAAACTTTTTTTCTAACAAAAAATAAATTAATTTAAAAAAATTCATGTTTAAAACTCCTTTACAGACGACATTTTTGTAGATTCATTTTAAACCTCTTGGCTTTTCGGCTCAGGGCGCGATAAAACGGGGTGTGGATACAATATTGACAGTTGACACTCCGGAAGAGAAATACTCCCAGGTGCTGCATTCAGGGACTGTGGGAACCAGAAATGTCTTGTGTTTATAAGATTGGATTTAAAAAATAATATACTTCCCTGATCTAAGCTTTTTTATTTACAGTTTCTGATACATCAGGAAATATTTCATAATTTAACACCTCATCAAACCAAAGTCCTTCCCTCACACACTGAGGAGGCAGCAATTTGAAAAGAATAAAAAAATTAGATAAAAAATTATTTCTCATCAGATTAAATTCTTTTTTATATAGTTGCTGATTTTTCAGTTCCAAGTTATTTCTTACAGTTTCAATAAACAGATAAATTGAAGGTAATTTTGGTCCCAATTTAATTCCATATATTCCTTTTGACCAACCAATAAAGGTTCACCTTTAGAAGCACTATGATAAAAAGAGAGATTTTAGCACATAATGGCTCAAATTTCCCAACATATGAGCTAAACTTTCAGCTGCAACCGGCTCTGCCTCTCTGACAACTCGTGCTATTACTACGCCACACACACACACACACACTCTCTACAGCAGCAAATGAAGAAAAGAAAATGTTTATTTTCAAAATAAACTCATCAGAGTGTATTAGACCCAAAACTTTGACGAAAGGAGCTGCAAAAAAGTGATGGAGGTGGAAAAAAAATGCCAGTAGTAACTTCCAGTTAAGCATTTCATTTCAACTTTGCACACTTAAATATATATATATATATATATATATATTGCCGTGCATAACCGCACTGACAGAAGTCATCATCTGTCCATCTGAAAGAAGAAGCCGGTAGTTTACTAAAACTCCACCCTGACTGAACCTTTCCAATAATCTCTCCTGAGCTGTGGGAATTTCTCCACCAATAACACTGGGTGGGGTGTGGACCGTGGGCTCAGCTCCAGTGGAGTTAGCACAAGCTGGGCAGGTTAGCGTGGTGTAACAACATTCCTTTAATCAAATTCAACACACCACTCCTTCACCGTTCAACAATGCAAAGTCTGGACCGTTCCTATAGGTGTGAAGCAGAGCAAAGGAACACTTAACGTCTTTTAAGGCGTTTCCAAAGAAATCCACTACTTGCTCCATGTGTGTTCACACGTATTTGAAGCAGAGCTTTTAATTCTGATGGGTATTAAAAACATGTCGAATACAGAAAGACATCCTACTATCAGAGGAGTGAGTAATTCTATCTAGAGCAGAAATTATAGCCATCTGTGCTTTTCTATTTCAGCCCGACTTGATTCAATTATGACTTCTTAGTGTTAGAAAAACAACAACTATGCAGACACCATGTGCTTTTCCAATATAAATGATAACAATTCAGCACAAGGAGCCTTTTGTAGAGCTACAGTGAAAGACTGTTTAAAATCAGAGCTTCTCCTCTCATAAAGCAACAAAGACTGGTCTTTTTTTTTTTATTCAGCCTAAAAGCAGAAAAGGGGATGCTAAATATAGAATCAGCTAAAGATATTCTCTATTTCAGCTCATTCAGGGGAAAGACAAGCTTTCTTTGTGACACAGTTGCTGAGATTAAAGTCGGAATTCTGGGATAAAGGTCCGAATTTCTGAAAAAAAAGGCCAATTTTAAGATAAACTCAGAACTGACTTTTCTTATGTCACCTTTTTTTTCTAATTACCCCGTTTCTCTTCCAAAAATGGAGAATGGATAAAGATTCACAATAAATTTCCTGCAATGTTTTGAGATGATGAAACAAAAACATAAAAAAAATCTATGCTTGAATTTGCAAATTAAAACTGAAGCAATGAGCTACAGAAACTGCCATTTTAGATCAATATAGAACTGGTTGATTTGGACCAAATTTCTATTTTCTACAGTCTGAACCCTTTGATTAGGAGCGTTCTTCAAAAAGAGATCTACCACTAGTGTTTAACAAATGGTACATTTCTGGAAACTATCATTTAACAGTCAGCTTTGTCACCAGAATCTCTGGACCCATATCCTACTATCTGGATATATGGACTTTGGACATGCCAATATTTTCTACTTCAACAGGGTATCTGCAGGTTTCTGAGAGTTAGATTTAAGACTTTTTAAGACCTTTTTAATACCATGCAGAATGAAATTTAAGACCAATTTCATATAAACAAATTTGCAAACAGCAGTCTAAATCTGGCAATGTTTGCAGTTTTGTTTTTACCGCACGCAAATGTACAAGCGATTTCCGAGTCTGGAAACATAGTTTGGAAAATGTCACCAACAGCCTCGTTAGCGTTATACGACTGGTGTTTTGTTACCGTATGCAGACACCAGAGTACCTCTGCTTTGAGAGTTGCGGTGGAGCCAAATTGGCAACCGCGGTACTTGAGGCTGATGCAGATTTCTCGTGTACGGCATGGAGTATCGCTCTGTGGTACTGATGTAAGCACAACGGAACAGAACTGAGAAATACCTGGTGTTTTCCGACGAGTTTCCAGAGCCACTTTGTGTTTTTCGCACTCTCCAATGCTCTGATCCCCATTGTTCCAAGTTTTAACACTTTCTTGCACAGTATACACCGGACTTCTAACGCATTGCCACAAACTAGTCTTAACCACGGCGCAAATTTAGGATTATGCAACCAATTTTCAGTAAATTTACACTTCCCCATGGTTAAAGGTTAAAGCGAGAAATTTCCATCATTTGCTAATATCCAGTCGACTCCACGCACCTAGTTAACCCCCCGTGAACTTGTAATTTGTTAGTTGGTTCCACCTAATTTTTTTCTGCGAGAAAATATTTTTTAGACGTAATGTTACTTGATTTTAAAAGGAAAATAAAATAATAACTTATGGTGTCAGTTTGATTGCATTTAAGACCTTTGAAACGCGGATTTAAGACATTTTAACGCTAATTAAGGCCTTATTTTTACATTATGGAATTTAAGACTTTTTAAGGATCCGCGGACACCCTGTTGGAGTCTTTCTGAGTTTGACAACAGTATTAAAAATAAATCTGGGATTACTCTTCTTCTTCTATATTAATACAGATAAATATGCAGCTATTGTTTTGTCAAGGGTCTTTTTTTTTTTTTTTTATAAAGAAATAGACCGTTTTTCCAGAAGTAGGAATAATGTTAACATGTTGAGTGCAATTTTTCTCCAGTTTCCAAGTATTATGGCATTACTAAAAAGTGATAGGACAGAGTTTTGAGGATTTACTGGTATTTCTTCAAAATCAATACCACATGTCTGCATGTTCAAGAGAATGAAAATGAGAATGAGTGGGTCTATGGACGTTTTGAACAACTGAGCCTAAGATAGCATTAAGAGCAGCATTTAAACGCATCACCCTCAATGAATTTTAAAATCCCCAACTATAATAACCTTGTCAGTAATTAGCACTACATCAGGAACCTTGAAACTGATGTAATAACGGAGAATAAGGGCCTGGTGGATGATACAAGACAAACAAACGTGGTTTTGTTGCTTTGCAGTTTGGAAGGGAGGAAAAAATGAGTACATTTTGTTCTATTATTGATGCAAGCAAATATATGTTTTGTAAATAGAAATGAGAAAAAACAACAAAAAAACAAAGACATTTTCAAAGACATCTTTGTCAAAAAAGGCAGTATAAAAAAATTTAATATGTTCTGGTTTTCATATTTCATTTTTTTTAAGTTTTTTTCAATTATGATGTTTCAGTTTTGTTTCAAAAATTTTATTTTCCCCTTTTTTCAGATTGATTTTCACAAATAGTATTCTTTCAAAATTGTGTTTTACAGTGTTTTCAGTGTTATTTGAAAAAAAAAAAAGTGAAAATATGAAATGTGTAAAAAACAAAAAAAATACATTTGGGAAAA